TGGTTTAGGATCATGTCCAGATGTTGGCGATTCTGGTGCTGGCTCTGATTCAGATGATAGTTCTGAATCTTGCCCTGATGTTGTAGATTCTGGTGGAGGTGCTGGTTCAGAGGATGGTTCAGGATCCAGTTCAGATGTTGGTAGTTCTGTTGCAGGCTCTGGTTCAGGTGTTGACTCAGAATCCTGCCCAGATGTGGGTGGTTCTGTAACAGATGTTGGTTCAGACGATGGTTCAGGATCTAGTCCAGATGTTGSTAATTCTGTTACAGGTTCTGGTTCAGGTGTTGGTTCAGAATCCTGCCCAGATGTGGGTGGTTCTGTAACAGATGTTGGTTCAGACGATGGTTCAGGATCATGTCCAGATTTTGGTAATTCAGTTGCAGGCTCTGGTTCAGATGATGGTTCTGAATCTTGCCCTGATGTGGTGGATTCTGCTGGAGGTAGTGGTTCAGGATCCACTTCAGATGTTGGTAATTCTGTTGCCGGAACCGGTTCAAGTGTTTGTTCAGAAACCTGCCCAGAAGTGGTTAATTCTGTAACAGATGGTGGTTCGGGTGTTGGCTCAGAATCCTGCCCAGATGTGGGTGGTTCTGTAATAGATATTGGTTCAGACAATGGTTCAGGATCATGTCCAGATGTTGGTAATTCTGTTGCAAGCTCTGGTTCAAGTGTTTGTTCAGAAACCTTTTTTGTTGCAGGTGCTGGGTCAGGTGTTGGCTCAGTATCATGTTCAGATGTTGGCGATTCTGGTGCAGGTATTGGATCAGAACTTTCACCAGATGTTGGTGATTCTTTAACAGATGCTGGTTCAGCATCATGTCCAGATGTTGGCAAATCTGGTTCAGGTGTTGGTTCTGAATCCTGCCCAGATGTTTGTGAATTTGTTGGGTCAGAGGATGGTTTAGGATCCTGTCCAGATGTTGGTAATTCATTTGCAGGCTCTGTTTCAGGTGTTGGCTCAGAATCCTGCCCAGATGTTGGCAATTCTGTTGCAGGTGCTGGTTCAGAGGATGGTTCGGGATCATGTCCAGATGTTGGCGATTCTGGTGCTGGCTCTGGTTCAGATGATGGTTCTGAATCTTGCCCTGGTGATGTGGATTCTGGTGGAGGTGCTGGTTCAGAGGATGGTTCAGGGTCCAGTTCAGATGTTGGTAATTCTGTTGCAGGTGCTGGGTCAGTTGATGGTTCAGTATCATGTTCAGATGTTGGCGATTCTGGTGCAGGTGTTGGATCAGAATTTTCACCAGATGTTGGTGATTCTTTAACAGATGCTGGTTCAGGATCATGTCCAGATGTTGGCAAATCTGGTTCAGGTGTTGGTTCTAAATCCTTCCCAGATGTTGGCAATTCTGTTGCAGGTTCTGGTTTGGGTGTTGGTACTGAATCCTGCGCAGATGTTGGTGAATTTGTTGGGTCAGAGGATGGTATAGGATCCTGTCCAGATGTTGGTAATTCTGTTGCAGGCTCTGGTTCGGGTGTTGGCTCAGAATCCTGCCCAGATGTTGATAATTCTGTTGCAGGTGCTGGTTCGGGTGTTGATTCAGAATCCTGCTCAGATGTTGGTGATTCTGTAACAGGTGCTGGTTCAGAGGATGGTTCAGGATCATGTCCAGATGTTGGCCATTCTGGTGCTGGCTCTGGTTCAGATGATGGTTCTGAATCTTGCCCTGATGTTGTGGATGCTGGTGGAGGTGCTGGTTCAGAGGATGGTTCCGGATCCAGTTCAGATGTTGGTAATTCTGTTGTAGGATCCGGTTCAAGTGTTTGTTCAGAAACCTGCCCAGATGTGGTTAATTCTGTAACAGATGGTGGTTCCGGTGTTGGTTCATAATCCTGCCCAGATGTTGGTGATTCTGTTGCAGGTGCTGGGTCAATTGATGGTTCAGTATCATGTTCAGATGTTGGCGATTCTGGTGCAGCTGTTGGATCAGAACTTTCACCAGATGTTGGTGATTCTTTAACAGATGCTGGTGATTCTTCAACAGATGCTGGTTCAGGATCATGTCCAGATGTTGGCAAATCTGGTTCAGGTGTTGGTCCTAAATCCTGCCCAGATGTTAGCAATTCTGTTGCAGTTTCTGGTTTGGGTGTTGGTACTGAATCCTGCCCAGATGTTGGTGAATTTGTTGGGTCAGAGGATGGTATAGGATCCTCTCCAGATGTTGGTAATTCTGTTGCAGGCTCTCGTTCAGGTGTTGGCTCAGAATCCTGCCCAGATGTTGGCAATTCTGGTGCTGGCTCTGGTTCAGATGATGGTTCTGAATCTTGCCCTGATGTTGATAATTCTGTTGCAGGTGCTGGTTCGGGTGTTGATTCAGAATCCTGCTCAGATGTTGGTGATTCCGTAACAGGTGCTGGTTCAGAGGATGGTTCAGGATCATGTCCAGATGTTGGCCATTCTGGTGCTGGCTCTGGTTCAGATGATGGTTCTGAATCTTGCCCTGATGTTGTGGATGCTGGTGGAGGTGCTGGTTCAGAGGATGGTTCAGGATCCAGTTCAGATGTTGGTAATTCTGTTGCAGGATCCGGTTCAAGTGTTGGTTCAGAAACCTGCCCAGATGTGATTAATTCTGTAACAGGTGCTAGTTCAGAGGATGGTTGAGGATCGTTTCCAGATGTTGGCAATTCTAGTGCTGGCTCTGGTTCAGATGATGGTTCAGAAACCTGCCCAGATGTGGTTGATTCTGTAACAGATGGTGGTTCAGGTTTTGGTTCAGAATGCTGCCCAGATGTTGGTGATTCTGTTGCAGGTTTAGGTTTAGAAGATAGTTCTGAAACCTGCCCATATTGTGTTAATGCTTCAGGTCTATTGCCAGCTTCAGGTGTTGTCACTATGTCCTCTACAGTTTGTGGCTTGATTGTTGTTTGAGGAATCTCTCCTTCATGTCTATGTCCCGTTTCTGCCGCTTTACTACAACTGCATGTTTTGAGTTGACTGATGTTTTCAATAAGATCAGCACTGGGGAAGTTCATGCTCAAGACACCTAAGCAACCTTGGTTTAAGGAGCTTTTCTCATGCTGCACCACAAAGTCATAAAGCTGCTTGTTAACTTTTTTGGCCAATGTTTTAGGACTTTCAAGCCTTGATGCTATACTATCAGTCAGTACAATGTGATGGTCACATAGGTGTGACTTGATTCGCTTTATGTTCCCTTCAACATTATTTAGCTTTTCATGTTCAAAGAAAAAAGATTCATGGTTTTCTGTTCCAGCAATGCCAGTGTTACTTTGCAGAAAAACAATCTTTCCCCTTGCCTGTTGCATGTTTGGTACCGACAACATAGTCCATATTTTATCTTTGTTCTTTTCAATCAATTGCTTCATTAGTACTTCAACTTTGCTTTTGTATAACCTATGTAGTGTCACTTTCAACAGCACAGTGTCAGTACTATCTTTTAAGAAATCTAAAATGATCTTGAGGACTTCATCCAATCGAATGTGTTGCCAGAACATCCAGTGTCTATCCTGGATATAAACATGTTTTTGGTTGGGCAGCCAAATCCCAGCATGCACATCAAAATACCGTATTCCTACATTAAGTTGGTCTTTTAAGGTCCAAATTTGAGATTTAACAAGTGGTCCTCCATATAATGATAAGCTTTCGTGTGTTCCTGGAATGGAGATAGCAGACACTGAAGTATTCTCAGGTATATCCTTCATCCAGTTCAGGTTATAAAATTTGCGATCTAGGGTTGGGTTATCATTGAAACCGGTCCATGAGCTTGAACAGGAGGTTGTTCTGGTGGGAAGAAGACACATGAAACATGATATTCGCTAATTTAAATAATTCAACAGCAGAAAAAAGTTTCAATAGTTCTTCAACAATAGTCACATAAAAAAGGAAAACTGTTAAAATATGAAACAAATATTTGCAGAATATGTAGCTGAGTGATGTGATAAAGCACGCTATTTTATGCAGATATGGATATGGTGAGAAAGAATTACAACACAATACAATTACCAATGTTAGGTTTGACTTACATACAGAGAAGCCAGAGGCAAAGATGGATCCCCATAATTGGTTTGTTGGCTAAATTATAATCCGGTGAGCTCATTCAGGATTTATTCAGCTCTCTTTCCCAGATGTTTACAATTTGTCTCAACTGACAATTTGTAAAATGTTTTACAAGAAACGCTCTTACCCGCGGACATGACTAGGACAAAAAGGCAATTGGCTCCCTTGTGAGCGAGCAGCCGTAACAGTGAGCATGAAGATAAACTTTCATTTGCATGATACTACTCTCTAATCTTTTATTTTGAATAGCAGGGAGAGGGAGAGAGAAAGAGACAAAGATGTGTGGGCATCGTAAAAGTGGTGAACAGATCATATAACAATCTAGTTAGTAAAATGTGGCTTCAGGGAACAGTCAGTTTAGATATCCTTTACATGCATTGCATGCAGAACCCATTTTTGACCTAAATTCAATTAATTTAATGTAAGAATTTAGGAAATTCACTTGTATTGGAACAAATATTAGTATGCAATATCTGTGTGGACAGCTACATTATGTATATGGCCAAAACTATGATGACACACTTGTCCACATACTTTTGTGTATATTTGGTTTGGTCTCTGGCTGTATCTTAATATTTATTGCACAGATACAAGTATGTTACTGTCCTTCTCGTTTAACTTGAAAAAAGTGTACTTTCCCAAATTTTTAACTATTCTTTTAATGCTACAACCATACAGTGATATTATAGAAAAAAGTGTGCATAATCGCTTTCTCAGAAGTGCGGAGGACGTTATAGCAGTAAACTAACACTCATGGTTTTGGAATGAAAGGTATAACAAGCACATACTGTACTTTGTTCAGGTTACCTCTTAATTTGTGTTTATTTTATTAAACACTACCTGGGCAAATGAAGACGACAGTATTTGGTTTCTTCGGGGTTACTTTCATGTTTGCATCATGCTGTAAATTTTTGTCAACAGGTCTATAAAGCACACGCTCTTGTGACGTACAGAAATTGAACATATACACAGAGCCATTTACCTTCTGTGATTGGTTGTGCTTTGCTGTTACGTCATCCTTATCCTGGCCAATAAGCTTGTGTCTGGCGCATGCTGATCCTCTCCCTCACCACCTGTTGCATCTTAGTGGACAGGTTATCTGCAGAGGCATGATCCCATAAGACTTTACATGGACAATTTTTTGACAGTGGCAATTCAAAGCGGGAACCATCAGATAATGCCTTTTAAATGACAAGAGTGCGTTTGATTTGACAGGGGCTCAACCGCTTCCAACGGCTACTTCTGCACCAGCTTTTGCCTGCGAGTTTATCCCTTCTTTATCTTGGCAAGATGTCTGTGAGAACTCTCCCCCTTGTTTTCATTAATCTGGGTGGAGAGATGCTTTACATACTGGACCAACGCCTACAAGCTCTCAACACGTCTGAGGATAATTCAGAGAAAGGTAGAGGTAGCTAGAGAACTGACAGCTTGGTAGTTGTGTTATGTGTGTAGCTCCCATCCATCCCTCCTGCTGACAAGCTGAAGCCTTGCTGTCAGATGTTCAAAAACTGAAAATGTGCAGCTCAACAACTCCAAAATGACAAGTCTATTTTTCTTTCTTTTCTTACTTGGTACTTGGATGCAGGAGTCTGGTCAGAAAATGACAGAAGAAGAGGTATCCATGTTGTACTTTTGCTTATTATTGTATAGTCAGTTCATTGTGGTCCTGTAGCAGTGGTGGAAGAAGTACTCAGATCTTTAGCAAGTATATATAGTTAGTTACTTTCCACTATTGCCCTGTAGTGTCTGCTATTAGCTGTAATGAGTTGAGGTCAGTTGTATGATACAGTAGTCAGCCTATAGTCTCTAGCGTAAATCCTAAATCAACCAAAACACAGTGACTACACCTTTGGTTAAAAGTCAGTTAATACAGGAATCTGACTTTTTGGTATCTCTTTCATATGAACATTATTATGCCATGTAAATGTAATAATTTTGTAAAAAACTACATGTCAAATTGTCATAGACAGACAAACAACGAGACAGCTAACTAGCAGGAAAACTATATCAAGTGTTACCTAGCTTGCTACGTCTAGCTAAAGCCAGATTTGCTAACTGATTTTACTGTAATTGTAATACTGTATAGAAAAAGAAATACATTGATGAATCAACATATTGGTAATCCTTTGTTTTATTCCATGTAACTAAATGAGGCAGTAGCTAATCCAATCATGATGGAGAAACACCTAGCTTAACTCATTGGTAACTGGTTTAGCAGAGTAACTCAGCTTTTAACTCCAGTGTTATTTGGTGGGATTAAGCTACTACTAAACTTCTAGGTTAATGTATCACTGATTCTCATATACTGTAAACGTTAATTGTTAATGAAATGTACTTTCTTAAAAACCAAAGAACCTTTATTAGTAGATGTGGCATACCTGCCCTGAAGACTGTCCAAAGGCTGCATGCAGTAATTTCTTGGATCTTTTAAAACCTTTTAGTAAAGCAGTATAACTCACTGAGGACAACCGGGTATAGAAACACTGCATTATAGTTGGATGACCATCAAAACAAGCTCTTCTGTGCCGTTTTCATTCCATGACCCAAAATAGCCAATTCTAACCACCTTTCTATCTCTGTCTCTTCCCCACTCAAAGTGATGAGTGACATTGTTGGGGCCATGTTTAGTAAAGACTTTATGGATGAACTTCTTAAACCCCAGCAGCTGTATTCTCACAGGACACTGAAAACAGTGCTGACTCGGTTAGCGCACGCCTCCATCATGAGGCTGAACCAGGCCAGCATGGACAAGGTATGTACATGAAAATAAAAATACATGTTTTTGAGTTTTTGGTGGAAAATCCAAGTCAAGTTTTTACATGTCAATGAAGATCAATTTCAAGGCCTGCCCAGCACTGTTGCATTTTTGGTTTATGTTTCTAGGTTAATACCAGGTCACATGTTGAGGATTTAATGGTTTAAATGAATTATTAATTTAATTCATTCATTTTTGTGTCTAGTTGCAATTTGAAAAAAAAGGAAAATTGTCGTAGTACTTTTGTTTGAAGAAGTGGTGCGTCCTTAAAGTTTACACCTTCTTTCTGTTCTTCCCCTGTAGCTTTACGAGCTGATGGTCATGGCGTTTAAGTATCAGGTCTTCCTCTGTCCACGGCCTAAAGACTTGTTGCTCATCACATACAATCACATAGATACCATTAGGGAATTTGTAAGACACACTCCTGTGGTTGTGAACCAAGTGGACGAGACACATAGGAAGATCATTGAGGTATATTGAGAGCGGTTACTATAATGTACTTTAATTACCATATTCCATTACTGAATCCTTCAAACCCATTGCCCCAGGATACAGTAGCTTATGTCTATACAGTCCGTCCAATAAGTTAGAGCATACTCTCTGGATTCCATATGTCAGTTTTTAATCACCTGTCTCTGGTGTGACCTGCTCTTGTTTTCCTTGCTAGGTATACTCATCTTTGCCAGAGGGTGAATTCCAACTTCTCCGACAAACATTGCTCATATTTTTTCAAGACATGCATGTTCGCGTGAGTACTCTGCTGTTTTTTACTCATTCCTCCATACAAGTGAAATGAAAACAATTTGTATTTTTTTGTTATTATTATTCCCTCCTCTTAGGTGTCACTTTTCCTCAAAAACAAAGTCCAGAATCCCAACGGACGTTTTGCCCTGTCGGTATCTGGCCCGGTGCCTCATGGGATAGATGTTCCAGGGCTTATTAGGTAGGCAGCTGACGAACATGGCATTGAATGTGTTCTGATAGTTACGTATGTACATGGTGACATAAAGGGTCCCGGTTTAAGCTTGCATCTAGCATCTTTTCCACTAGCATTTAACAACTGATGAAATTGTGTGACAAATATGAATTGCCATGATATTTAATGCAGACTTTAAAGTCTCCAGAGGATGAATCCTAATGACTTTTGGGATCCTCTGACTTTTCATCAAGCACCACCAAGAATTCAAAGTGTTCAATTATCCAGGATAGAACAAAATTGGGCATAGACCTTCATGTTCCCCTCTGATGATCCTTTAACTTTACATTCGTTGCCATTTGTCCAATGATGATCCCATCAGCCTCAGCTGTACTTTGTTTGGTACCAATTAGCTAATGTTAGCATAGTAATTAAACTAAGATAGTGAACATGGTTCAGATTATACCTTCTAAACTTAAGCTCATTATCACTGCAAGCATGTTAGCACACACACGTTTGGATTTGGCTGTAGATCTTTGTTACTTAAATGGTAAACAGCAGATACCCATTTCATTTACAAAATGGTCAAAAGGTTCTCTGTTAGCATGCTAACATTCAGCATTTAGCTCAAAGCACCACCTTTACAATCCATTTAGCATTGAAAAGGGACAGAATGGTTAACATTTAGTTTCTCCGAAAAAGAACAGAGTTACTGAACAGTGGCTAACAGAGGCTAACAGAGGCTAGCTAGGAAAGCAAATGTGTGCTCCTCAAGTTAAGGCTGGCCTCTACAACACAATTAACCAGAGCTCATTTCTGTGCTTCTTTACATGGAAAATGTATCATTACATTTCTCTTGCATCTGTTATTTTTCAACTTGATCTAATATATGTGGCAAATTATGAACTAGCAACTGACTAACATAGTCTTTGATTTGCACAGGCCTACAAGCAAAAGTATAGCATACTTTCTGGCCTGATTGTTGGGCATCAGGCAATTTAACGGCTCACTTCCATCAGTGGCACCTGATGAGGCTAGTGACGACAAGCGGACATGTCTTCATTTTAGATTTTCTTGAGTTGAGTCTCTTATAAGTTATAACTGCTTGTAAGAAACATCTCAATATTCCAGAGTGTCATCATCTGCTTCCCGTTTCCACAGGATGTTTGACAGAAAGGGCAGAGAAGTGAGACGTGGCGAGTTCCCCACAGGAGGGAGTTACACCAGCCCCATCAGACAGGGATGCTTTGAACTGCATGGAGACAGAGTCATCCGACTGGGCATGACCATGTATGTGTGAACTGTATTGGTACTACACCACATTTATATGGATAGTAAAATAGTGGATTAGGAGACGACATTGCTGTATCTTGTGTTTCTTGAATTAAAAAAAAGGTACACTGGGAACCATCCAGAGGAGACGCACACATCCAAGGCTTCTTCTGTCAAGGTAACAACCCTATTTCTGACATTACCATAGCAGCAAAAACACAGTTGTAGTTAACTTAAGTTTTCATATTGGTATCAATTTCATGCGTATTATATTATGTTTATTACATTTTTCCATAGCGGCACAGTTCCTTAGGCAACATTTCATCTACATTAAAATTAATTTAAATACATTTTACAGAAGAATAGCTCTGCTTTAAGAAAGTATAACCGTCACCACATGCTCCCGATGATGGTTTTCTGTGATGCCAAATTACCTTCATAGATGGCAGCAAGCTACTCTACAGTCCTCGAGTAAATTCTTTACATAAATATAGAAGTGCAATGCCAGTGATGCAACATAACGAAGTACATGTATTCAAATACTTAAAGTACAATGTTGAGGTACTTGTAGTACTTTACGAAATATACTCCTACATTTCAACAAAACAAATATTCTAATCCTTCACTACATTTGTATGAGCTATAATTACTAGTTGCTTTACATACATATTAATAATATTGAAATTTTATTTTATAACACTCAAAAGGGGGTATTTTTCTGCACGAGTACATTTTGATACTGCAAGTACATTTTGCTGAAAATCTTGTGTAGTTTCACTTAAATAAGATTTAGAATGCAAGACTTTCACTAACGTGGTATCTCTACTAGGATCTGGAAACATTTTCCTTCACAGCACTATTCTCTCCATTGTCTCATATTTTGCTTTTGATGATGCATCAGAGACTTGAGACCATCTCTCCATTCATGTATAACTTTCCTGTACACCCCCACCATCCTGCTGCAGAAAGACGACGCTCCCAACCTGCTGGCCAAAGAGGAGCTGAATCTGCTGGCTCGTCTGATGGGAAGCATGAAGGCCGAAAACACGCCCGAAACCGAAACTGGCTTTCGGATCAACCTGTTTACAACAGACCAAGAGAAGGAGGAAGCGTGAGTGCTTTTTTTTTTTTTGCTTTACTCATTCTCTGCTATTAAAGTAACAATGATTCCCATGATTATGACTTTTATTTTGATTAACAGGGGAGCTTCAGGGGGAGCTGAGCAGTCCTTGTTCGGAGTGATAAATATTCAAGCAATGCAGGTAGGGTGATATAATACTGTAGACTGTCAACAAGCCAGCTTTTAGTTATAAACTGTCTGCAAGTGTCGAATACTTCTTTACATACCACATACCACAAATAAATACACCCACTTTTCTAGACTGCAGTTAAATATTTACTAACCACCTTCTTCACAACGGTTACCTCATTGGTTTGTTGATTATACATCTGGGCTTTTGTTTGATTCAGGATGAACAGGCTGCGACACAGCTGGCACGAATTGCGGGACAGTTTGCCAAAGGAGACGAGCTGCCTGAAGATCTCAGCAGCAGCAAAGGAGACGACCTGCTGGCCATGATGGACGACCTCTGACCCAGTTGTGTCGTTTTTTTAAACGACTTTTAAATATCGTTTCAACTTTACTGCCTAACTCTTTACCTCAGGTCAAATCACTTTAACTGTCACTGTGAGCTTCGATTTAACCTGTAAAATATGCAGTTGTTGGTGTATTCTGTTCTACACCTTGTTGTTTAACATTGAGGAAGATTAGAGAGCAAAATAAATATCCAATGACTAAAAAAATACTTTATTTTAAAGTACTAGCACTTTGAAAAGTGCTACATGAATGCAGTGAACATTGTAAGACCTGCTACATTTGATATGCATTTTCTATATAATAATTATACATTTTCAATAAATGGATCCATATTTGTTTTGTTTCTATTCTGTTTTTTAAATACAATATAAGACTAAATAAGACTGATGCAGGGATCTCGATAGAAAGACAAAAGACAGAAATTATTTATATTTTTCATTCGTTTTTATTTATTGACTAAATTGACTTAGGATCTGGCAATTAAGGGAAATGTGGTGCGTGCATATCAATTTCCCCAAAGGATATCTGAAATACATTTGATGCATTATAAATAACTTGCAGAAATATCATCAAATATGTTGTAGGAAACATTAGGATTTATTTATCCCTTGTATGCATTTATTAGGAATTTGATTGTTTTTATATCTGCTTTTTCTTTGACGTAGAATATCTAATGCTGTTTATACATGATCCTTCTGATCATAATTAAGAACCTTGTTTACTCTGTTCATATCTTATTTAATTTTCATAATTCTGTCTTTTATGTTTTGTAACCTCTTATATTTGTAAACATATTGTAAACAGGAAAACAAATCATATTAAACAGTGTATTGGTGATTTCTGAAGCTCCCTGAAGAGGGCGGTGTTGTTCTATGTTGACGCACAAATCTGCGACGCACAATGAAACGTCATCACGCTGCGCTTCCTGGTTCGGACTTGTTGCAAGAAAACCAACTTGTTTACATGTTTGAACGGTTTATCGCCACTTGCAAATATTGTGGTGAGGGGTTTAACTAATTCAGGTATGTCCAACACACAATATATCTAGAGTATAATATGTAACATTTGCTGTCCTCAGGCGCTGATGTACTTATTTTGGTCCGTGCTGAAGCTAACCGTTGAAGCTAGCTAATTCAGCATCAATGGAGTTTGTCTGTCTCACAATAAAACAGCTCAGTTTGAGGTAAAGATGCATGAATATATTAGCTGTATCCGCTGTAGTAACCTTTATACAATGTACCAATATCATATAGAGGACAGAAACCGTTGCGTTTTATTTTGGGTATTAGCCCATGTGAGTAATGACAGTGCATGTGATAAAAGAGATGTCAATTCCTTCTTGGAAACCTCCTTTGACGAACAAAAAAAATTCAAATATCCTCCAAGTAATTAGAAGAGTCTTTAGTAACGCTATTTCACCTCTAGAGTATTAATATCGTACCTTGTTTTCTTTCCTGAACTCAAACAGTGGCCGTTCAGTCACTTAATAAATGTTCAACCAGTAACTGCATCTCTCCTGATTCTTAATTGGTGCTTCATTAAATGCAGGTGTGCTTATGTCTGTGACTACATGTCAAATAAAAAAAGACAGCGCTATTATCAGTTACAATACAAAGCAAGTGCTTAATTAGAGAGATAAAAGCGTAGATTTTCAATTAGATTTTTGTGATATTAAACTTAAACCAAGGCCTTGCTCCTATTTTCTAATATACATTGTTTGGAATTTTAACAGTCTACAAATGAAGGATGTTTTGAAGCTTTTCACTGACAGGCTAATTACTACTGCAGTTTTATAGCTCTTTTTAGCTCTGACTGTTAGGGGAATTAGTTTTCAATGTGTCATGGTCATATGTAGACCGATCACATACGCACTGTGGACAAACAGCCCTAAAACACTGTAATTAGGTTTTGCTAATGAATTGAATGGCAGCTAATCTTCTGCTTGTCTGTAGGTATCCCCCGACCTCTGGAGATCCCCTTCATTAGCCTCCATGGAGTCAGAAAGGACTGAATCCCCGGCGCTGAGCCTGGCACATGTAGCTGAAGTCTTCAACTCCATCCGGGAGCGCGCAATCGCGGAGAACAGCATGGTGGTCCTGCTGCAGGGTCTGCAGGGAGAGGTGACCACGGTGGACCTGAGGAACGAGAGCACGGCGCGCGGCCGCGTGGTCAACGTGGACGCCTTCATGAACGTGCGTCTGGAGGACGTGCTGTACAGCGACAGACGGGGCAAGCTCACCAAGCTGCAGGACATGTTTATCACCGGCAGGAACGTTCGCTACGTCCACATCCCGGACCACGTGGACATAATGAAGACCATAGAGAGCCAGCTGGCCAAGATCCACCGCGTCCGCAACTTTGCCAGTCATGGAGGAGGCAGAAAAGAGTACGCAAAGAAAACCAAATAACTTCTTTTCTTTTTCGTGGAAGGATTAAAAAAATAGAAACTCAGTTGAGTACTACTTGGGCAAGACTACAACAATAATACTTTGGGGCAACAAGCATTGCACTCGATCAGCAGTTTCTGACCAGAGGGGGTCACAGTATGATTAAAGGGATAAGAATGAAAACAATATGTCAGCAATACAAAAATACTTTCTTTGACATTTTTTCTATTCGGTGGTTTATAAATACGGGATACCTTCACCCTCTGTGTTTGAACTGCTCTCAACTCATGTGTACACCGAGACCTCCTCCTGTGATGACGTCGGGTCATGAGATGAAAAGGTTGGCGATATAGGCTGACCAACTTGCAATTGTTTTCATTATTACATTTTCTTGATTCATTTATGAATCTTTGGGCTCCAGTATGTCACAAAACTGTGAAAAGTGACAACTTCCCAGAGCCCAATGACATCTTCTGATGTCTTGTTATCAGCCCAAAACACAATGATATAGAGTTCAGTGATATGCAAACAGACAAAAGCAGCAAATAGTGACATTTTGTGAGGCTGGAGAATGTTTTTGGAATTTCCGATTAATCCATTATCAAAACATTTGCAAATTGATTTTCTTTCAATCGATAAATCAGCTGATTGTTGCACCTCTACACACAACATGAGCATCTTTGATGAACCGCTGGACTAGCTAATGAGTTGAACGCTCTCCTTGTGTTTTGGTAATTGAGTTTAAAGTTTGTAATTGACACAAAATAGCCGTTTCTTTTTAAATACATACAATAATTATGAATAAAGACGCTTACAATTAACTTGTCCCCTCGAAAACATCTGTTTCAGCGCACCACTGCTTTATTAAAATTAAATGGAACATATTACAATTCACAGCGAGTGAATTCACAGTGACCCTGTGTGTTTTCTCTTGAGCACAACAATATCTGTCTGTCGTCCATGAAAGTTAATAACTGCCCGCATGCAGGAAAACATTAGTCACCATCGATGCCAGTCTGGTGGAGGGAAAAACAAGCGGGCATGTTTCCATGTCGTCCACCTCAAAAACATCTCTGCTGCACGCATCAGTGAGCCGTCGCTCTCTCCGGTGATTTGGTGCCATGCCATCACAAGCCTGGCAGGACGGGACACCGGTTAGCCAATGGAAACGAGCGGAGCGGGGTCAAAGGAAGAGAGCGTTTTGCTTGGAAACTGCCGTCGCAGTGTGCTCCCGATAGAGAAATACGATTGGGAATTTAAGGAATTTGCAACGGGGTATGTTATTCCTACTCAGTGTCAGGAAGAGGACAGGCCTGACATAACACAGGCGGAGGCAGCTGGTGCAGATAAACCCGGCGCTGTAGAAAGAAGGCAGTGCATTAAATTAAGGAATATGCACACAGGAATGTCCCTCGGCGGGTGGGTCATTGTTTTGGCTGCGGCCTCGGTGTGTTTTTAGCGACATTTTTCTCTTGACTGCTCTAAAACCGACATGGAGAGCATCTGAATGACAGCAGCCCACATAATGACTGCTTAGCTAAAAAACACAGCCGAGCGCCACATCAACACTCACTAAACTCAGAATAGCACTTTACAGAGGCTCAACCGCAACAACAATTCTTTTACAGGACGTAACGCGGCTCGGTCCGCTGTCACAGACTCCACCTGTGGTCAAAGGAGTAGTCAGTTCTTGTACTTTAATACAAGTACCAATACAACAAAGTACAAACAATCCATACCAATACAATCCCTGCTTTCATTTTCTTTCTTCAGTAAAAGAACAGAAATATTATCACCAAAATGTACTTAAAGCATTAAAAGACAAATGTACTTCACTCAAGTACTGCACATAAGTACACATTTTGAGGTACTTCACTTGAGTATTTGTGGTTTACTTCTACTCCAGTACATTTTTGAGGGAAATATTGTACTTTTTACTCCACTACATGTATTTGCACTGTTTACACAATAAAAGTTGGTAAACTCTTCAAGTAAAGGCGCGGACTGGCCGTCCACCTCAAGGTGTAATTGTTTGTGATTGCTTGATGATTCTGAAATGGGAACGAGTACTTTTACTTTTGGTACTTTTAACTACAATTCGATACCAATACTTTTGTACTTTTACACAATTTTCAATGCAATATGAGTATTTCTGCACTGAAGTACTGCTACCGTTAAAAGTACCTCTTCCACCACAAAATGTATTGGAGTAGAAGTATAAATTTGTAGAAAATGGAAATCCTTACTACAAAATTAAGGGTAAATGTACTTAATTACTTTCAACCTCCACCAAACAGCAGCACCAGCTGGCTCCACTGTTTGCTTGAGTTAGAGTCACAAACTGCCGAGGTCTTTTCCTCCAAACTCGCTCGACGACGCTGAGATTAAAACACAAAGAGCTCAATTAATCTGCGAGCCCCCCCCCCCCCCCCGAAGGCACCGCAGCCGACTTGCTATTTCCTGTCCCACCCTCCTGGCTTCACAGTGAACAGACCTCACTGTGGTGCGTTCGTGGCCAGCAGAGGAGAGACCACCTCCCTCTGGTCAGTGGTGGGGCTCAAATCTGCACAGAAGCCAGAACAGCTCACAGTAAAAGGGGGATTTCTAGACAAGTTGGAGTGGTCCACCTGCATTTTTGGACGCTTTTATTTTTGGAGTCAGATGCCAGTGCCACACACGTACGTTTCACTTATCTCTCAGGAAAGAGGAAACACCTCCCTCTGTACACTTGAGTGTTTCTGGCTGGTCCTCCTCCTGTGGAGGATGACAGGGAGTGGATCATAGTGGAGGGCTGCTCCCTCAGCTACATCAGCTCCTCTGTCACAAACACTGAGTGAACAACAAACTCGCACTGCTCCTCCATCTTAATGATCTTATCTAAGTGTTGGCTGACGGACCAGCTCCAAATTTGGATTCAAATTCTTTGTTTCTCCAGTGGAAAGTGTTTTTGTTAGTCAAGCTGTGCAGCTCTCATCCAGGACCAAGGTGAGTGATGACTTCAGATGATGTTTACTCTTCACTTTTCTTCCTCCATATTCAACTTTCATGTAAATCAGGCTTTTATCGCACATTACAATGGCTCTCCTGTTGGGGCTCTCTTGTTGGACCCTTCTACAAACTGTTTTTTGGTTTAACATATATTGCAGTTACTGGTGTCAGGCCATAAACAGGGCAACAAACTAGTTTATTAGTAGGGTCTGCACCATGTTCTTTACAATACCGCAGACCATAAAAGCCTTTATAGATGCAGTAGCTACAATGTGCTCAAATCATCAACACTTTGACCATACATTTGAAGAGAAAACATTTGTTTTGCAGCTCGTTTTGTGTGTTTTTATACTTAATTTAGCCCACTTTTAATCGCTTTCTACTGTGATGATGGAAATATTCCCTGTCTTAGAGATGGAAGACATTCGGTGGACTACTGTAAAATAACAAGTCTCATTTTCAATGGTTTCAGGTTTCATCTTTTGACTTAAATAGGATTATCTAAACAGGAAGTGTGGGAGGGTTGAACGGAAGTGCATTTTATAGGGTTACATAAACAGCTACAGCTGCCGGGCCTTTGCATGTGTATAGTTAAGTCGGGAGGTTATTGGCCTTGTCTGGAAATGTTAGGTGTTAAATCTGTCTGCCCGAGGACTGCGGCTGTATAAAATGGACATTTGTCTCCCTCTGGTATTTCTGTTGTGCTTCCAGCTCGGGCAAACTTCACCACAAGTGCCCGCCTCAGGCATGATGAGTGTCTTTTAGTGTTAATGTTAGTGAAACAACAGAAGAAGAGTATGAGCGTACCACAATAGTGTTGTTTGTACAACACATCTTATCCTTTCTGTCTATAATTAATCCTAAAAATATTCTTTTATTAAAATGAAAAAAAAAAGAAATTGCCAGTGCAGTGAGATGATTTTCACCCGTTTTAAAAGAAATCAATTTGTTTTAAGAAGTTTCTGGAAAAGAGAGCTTAAAACATGACACGATACGACTCTGCATCACTGCACTAGAATCAAGGAAAACTCAACTTCATTTTGCAATCAAACAAGGTAAAGAAAATATTCGTACTGCACACCTCTTTAAAAAAAATGTTGTTTGCGCTGTCTTACAGAGAGTTAGATCGGAAGATCGATACAGTTCTCCACACGTGAAGCTTTAGCCAGCAGCTAATTAGCTTAGCTTAGCATAAAGACTGGAAACAGGGAAAAAAAGGAAGCCTGTCGAACGGTAACAAAATCTGCGCAAATCTCACTAATTAACACATTATATCATGTTTTTTTAATTTGTACAAAAACCGAAGCGTACAAACAATATTTAGCTGTTTTAATCTTTTAACTATTTCTTCGTCAGGAGCAGCTGTTTCCCCCTGCTTCCAGTCTTTATGCTAAGCTAAGCTAACTGGCAGCTGGCTGTAGCTTCATGTGGACGTGAGAGTGGTATCAATCTTCTCATCTAACTCTAACCACGAAAGAAGTATTTCAAAATGTCAACCTATTCCTTTAAAAACTCAAATTACAGAAACAATATGAGTTGATAAGAAGGCCGTATCTGTAGTGTGATAAATGCCACAAGTTTGATAAACGGCCTGATCTGTGAGCATGCAGAAGTACTGGGTGCAAAGGCCAGTTTTTAAATTAACAAACAAACACTGTTTGACTTTACGCGAGCTGAAGCGGACTCGAAATTGCCCACTTATGTTGTTAAGGTCTGTGGGCCGCAAATTGAGGGTGCAGATGGAGTCATGCTTCTTCTGTCTGCGAGCTGAATGTCGAACAGAAGGCAGCGCTGGTGGAGACCCACCGGTTCCCATGAGTCAGCTGCCCCCATAGAGACCACTGTAATTGCCCCGTCAGAAAAAAGACGAAAAAAAAGAAAGACTTTGAGAGTGCTCGGGGTCTGCCAAGACTCACCAGGATAAAGATCAGGGTGGGAAAGTGACTCGACCCCCTCCCTCTAAATAGCGGCGATTGGGCGTGATTTCGTTTCGAGAAAGCAGCAGAAAGAAAAACATTTGGCTCCCACGCACTCTGTTGTTGTAATGACAGGGAATGTGAGGGGGTGGGAAATATCACTCATGTTTAGATCAAGCTTTACTGTAACATTGAGGCCATCTGTGACAACTTCAACCTCATCCAACCCTCAGTGTATCACTCTCTTAAAGCAACAGTTCACCCAAATTATGAGGAAAATAACATTTAGGGACTATGTTCAGCTCCAATGAGGTCTTTAGATTTGAAAGGATTAGGACAGACATGTTTCTGTTGAAATTTTAGGGACGGCAACGGTGCGGACTGAAACATCTCAACAGTTAGCCTGTTACCATGAAGTTTGGTTCAGACTTCTGCGTTTTGACCACAGGAGAAATAAAGAATTTCCCTGAATATAATTTGTCCAACACCTGTAAAAGTAACTACTCGTTAACTAAGATGTTTAACATGGTCAACATTATTCCTGCTGAACATCAACACGTAAGCGTTTGCGAATCCTTTATAGACCAGTAATAATCCATTAAAAAGAACAGCTTTTGGGTTGCCAGGTTGTGAACAACCATAAAGCTTTTTTAAGATACAAATTTAGCAAGAAGAGGGCTCCAACAGAGGACAGTATCACTTACTTAATGGGAACGGGCAGCAGGACGCCTGGATCATAATCCATTCATGGATCATAATTCATTCATGGATCATAATCCATTCATTAATGTATAACTCCAAACGTGATGGATTATTGAAACAACTCACCATTAATTCTTGTCTTGCGAACATTTCTAACATGTAAATACATATGCTGCAAAACTTAATGACTTAATAAGCAAAAAACCAAAGAGCATGGACTAACCCATTCCCAACATTTACATCTGCATTACTACCAAATAGAAATGACAAACGGCATTATGGCCAAAATGGATCTGAATGAATGGCTAATAAATAATATCTATAAAGCATATGATAGATCACTAATAAAGCCATTCGTTTTAAACCCGTCATAAAAGGTGCCTTGCCATCAATAAATCCTCAGAGACAGATATTTCAAAATAAATGCAAAATAAACTAAAAGAAAGTACACGTTTTGTTAATAGCTGCAGTTTCCAAGGAAATCTGTCATGTGACTTGTTTTCTGTGGGAAAAGAAAGAAAGAAAAAAAAAACACATTTGCGTGACGCCGGAAAAGAGCCTCCTCAGGCTCTGATGTCATAAATATAAACATCCCCATCGGACACAGGGGGCCTCATGCTGCTGTCCTCACCGCAGGCCTGAGTGTAAAACACTAACGAGGAACACAATGTCCTCGTCTGCTGACCTCTGACACCAGTTCAGATCACAGGAATGACGGGCGGAGAACTTTTTGGATGAGCTCAGACTTTTGGGTTTATAGCGACACTATATTATATCATATCAGATTTAAACATTAACGCACTAACTGTCTGCTTGTGTATTTTTGTGACAGGATCCTGCTGCTGTTGGAGTTCAGTGTGTAACAGAAAGTCCTGGAGATGGTAGACATCTGAAACCACTGAGAACCAGGATGGAGCCTGTTAAGAGAGACATGGAGCTGCTCAGCAACAGCATGGCGACCTACGCTCACATCAAAGGTGAGTCTTTAACTGTGGTTTTCAACCTGAGGCTCCATCAATGGGTCAGGCGTTAAATCTGTGGTGTCACAAGATAAATACCAGTGTTGACAAAAACAAAATAGTTTTTTTCAAAATGTCTCTATTTCTTGCTCGAAAACTCACAAAATTTGGCACACACGTTAGAAACGGCAAAAAATTGCAGAGTTTTGCAAATTTAGCTTGGGGCGTGGCAAGCTGGCTCCATAGCACCCCCAAAAGCACCACAGGTTCGAGATAAAGTTCCTCTTTTTATGTTCACGAAAAAAACGAATTGTGCTAAAAAAATGGCAACTTGCGGTTTTACAAGGGCCAGACTATTTCTTGGATCAGCAACTTACTGGAGTCTGGCAACCTCACAGTAATGACAAGACCACAAGTTGAACCTTTTTACATTTTGGTTTCTGTACAGGTTAAACAAACAAAACATAATGTGTTAATTTGTGAGATTCAAAGATGCTGTTAGTTGGATTTTGTTACTTTTGTTAACCTGACAAATCAATAGTAAATATTAAGAGCTGTCAGACAAGTTTAATGGAGTAAAAAGGTACGTTATATTTACCTCTGAAATGTAGTGGAGTAGAAGTAGCATAAAATGGAATTATTCAAGTAACGTACAATTAGTACCTCAATAAGTAAATGTATTTAGTACTTACGAACTCGTCCATTGTGTTTCTCCGCCCTCACAGCCAACCCAGAGACCTTCGCCCTCTACTTCATGATGGGCGTCTGTCTCGGCCTGCTCATGGCGCTGTGCCTCCTGGTGGCCGGCATCGCCTGCAGGACTCGCCGCCACAGCAGACCTCCCCCATCCCCCGAGAGGAGACAGCTGAAGGAGTCCAGCGGGGAAGAGGAGGAAGAGGAGGACAGCACCGCGGAGGACGATGGGGAGGAGATGGACATCCCTAAAGTGACAATGGGGCCCATGAGCGATCGCAGCAGCCAGTCCAACGGGACTCTGAGGAGCGTGAACGTGTTTGCGTCAGCTGAGGAGCTGGAGAAGGCCCGGCGTCTGGAGGAGAGGGAACGAATCGTCAGGGAGATCTGGAGGAACGGACAGCCGGATGTTCTGGTCACAGGGACGGGGACTATTGGACGAGTGCATTACCACTAACAGACACTTTGACTGTGCCCTAAAGATCCACCTCGCTGACTGTAAATAGCAGGACGCACACAGTACATTGATGGAGACATTTTGATTTGTGTGGCAACCCAAAGTGTTCAATATTAAAGTGAAGGACTGTTATTAAAGTGATTGGGCTGTATCACCAAAGACCTCCCCAGGGTCATTCATGTTTGAACCCTGCTCTTGATTCACAAACGGTGTTAACTGAGTCCAGCTAGTTTAGTCATGTGCCCCCAATTTAAACCTCAAACTCTGAACTGAACTTCTAATGTGCACCACCAATGTGCACATTAATAAAACACGGATACAGCGACATAACCGTGTTCCTCTGCATGTGGCAAAGTGGAGGAACAGTGATATGAAATACAAATTTATGGCAAAAAATAAAATAAAATAAATACCCTCCCCGTTTTTCTTCCCTAATAATTTTTGTACAATTCCTGAATAAATAAGACATTATAAAATAGGTAATCATATGAATGAATACAATAAAGACATATTCACAATATTTACAAATCCAATACATTTTTTAAAACTCCGCTTAAAGTTCTGAAATGTGATTTAATGTTAATTGAGCAAGAAAAAAATTGTTTTTCCTGATTTAAAGCATTATCGGTCTTTGGGGTGAAATTTGGGGAAAGAATTGAGTTGAAATAAAAGTCAAAATGTTCTCAGGTGGATAAAATAAAACAATGAGTTTAAAAGAAAAGGTATTTAATTATTCTAGGTATATTATACATTTTGTCTGCATTTGTTCATATGATATTTCTTAATTTTACTCCTGAATACAATATTCAACATGTCTGGTCTCCATAGCTTTTCTATTATATTGACATAATGCAGATTTTGTATGCAGCATAATTTGGCTTCATCTGTATTTTACCATATCTCTGCAATGTGAAAAATTAAAAGTTTAACCACTTTTTTTCAATCAAAAACAAAATATATTTATCATTCGGTGTAGCAGTGTCTATTTGTGATTATCTATGTATCAAACAATACGTTTATTTGCCTTTTTTAGCATTAATTAAGAGGAGAAAATAGTTAGCATCTGTATGCTAACTATGTAGCGTTAGCTGGAGCCGAGAGACGGTTAGCTAGCTAGCTTAGCTTAGCACAAACACTGGAGGCTGGTAGAGACTGCTGTCTCTGTTTAAAGGCAACATTCACCTCCAGTGGTAACGACGTTGACCGTGACGTCAACATGGGGAGATTTACCGGTCCTGCTCAAAACATAGTCCGGCTCCAAACAATGCTGTTCCAGCCATGGTTCCAGCCTCTCACATGTGAACATTAGCTGCTTTCTTTGTCTTGTATGATAGCAAATTTCACGTTTATGTTTTGGACTGTACTAATTATTCCATTCATGTTTTTGAGTGTTCAGTTGATTGTTTTCAATTCTTAAAGTTGTTTGATTTCTATGACCAACAGTCCTAAAATATTCGCTTTACAGCGATATAAAGGAGGGAAAACAGCATATCTTCATATTTTATACACTTGAATCAAGATTGTTTGGACTTTTATTTGATAAATAAGGCTTAAACAATCATCAAAACAGAACATCAGTTATCAAAAAAAGAGGATTGATTTAATCAACTAATCATTTAAGCAATTTAAACACATTATCTTGGGCTCTGGAAAATTCTGATGGGCATTTAAAATTGTCTGAAAAGTTTTTTTGTTGAAGAAAATAGCCTGTATATTAATCCAGAAGGAAAATAGTGCTTAGCTCCAGCCCTGGTGTTAAACTGCTCCCACAGAGGCAGCTTCACGGTGGGCTAATCTTAGCAGAGAAGTCAGATTCCCACAGAAACCCTCCAATCTTTTTCCCAGCCTTTAAATTGGACTTGTGTCTCTGACCCCAATACTTCCTGTGTTTCCCTTTCCCTCCCCAGCTCTCTCTGCTGAAGACATGTATGTTTAATGGCTATGAAAGAGCCATTCACCTCAGCCGTACTGTAGATATTACCAATGCTGAGCTTCCCCAAGCGGATCCAAGCCGTGTCCCAGCAGACGGTCTATTTTCTGTAGGCTGGATTTTCCTCTTCCGTCAATGAAAAGGCTCACTGTTATAACTGCAGTAGCTTGTGTCCAGTGTCCGTTAAGTGGCACTGAATGGAGATTGTTGTAGGATTTAAGAGAAAACTCTCGAGACTGACAAAATGAGACACTCAAGACCTGATGGTTTGTGCTCATTCTGGGACAAATTGTTTATTCACACTTGTTTGTGGTCCTGAGCCATCTATAACAGCTCCAAAAACATATTTAACATTGTTTTACCTCCTAAGTTAAAGTAGAAATACCACAATTTCCCAACACTATTCACAAAGAAATATACAGTATGTTATCCTGGAAAATTATAATAGGCTTCTTTGAACTACTTGCTGGTATTTTATAGACAAAACATAAAACACAATTGACAGATTTATTGATAATGAAAGCAATCATTACGATGCTTTATGGTTATTTTGTCACTTTTACTCAAATGTACAACCAACTTTGTGGCTAAAAGTTACCGCTTCACTACTTTCAAACATATTGAATATAATTGGATGATTTTGCAATTCATATTTTCACTGCAGTGGAGTATGTGAGATCCCAGCCACTCAGGAGGTAAACTACAAACCACTTAACACAGTGAGCTGTCCAACACTTCTACAGAAGGTTCAGTTGTAGACCTCAACAATCACACTCAGAGTTGCCCTGAATCAAAGAAAAATTTATTGAAAATTAAAAGACAAAGAACTCCAAAGCTCTTGAGAACAGTACAAAAGTATTCAGCTTCAGATTAAACAAAAAGAAAAAGTCCTACAGTTGTGTTTAGTACATGCAGTATGTACAGTCAAAAGTGGGACGAAGCAGCAGTGAGAAACTAGGTCACGTCAATTCCTCTTAAAAACACACTTTCATCGATGCCTTTGACAAAAGGTTTTGTCAATATCTCTTCACTTTTTCATGTTTAGGTTCTCTGTCTGGAGTCTAAACTGTTTTTTTTTTATGCGAGAGGATTTACTGCAACTGTTGTATTTAAAAAAAATGAACTGTATTCAGTTTGTATGTTCTCCTTTCCCCCGGATGTTGAGATTACAATAATTTAGGTCTTATAATTCTATACACTTAATAACTTTTTGTAATAACTATTCTTTTTTTTGATTAAAAATCTAAACAAGAGGTAGCCACTTACCTAAATTGATATGACAGAGGCAGAAAACCTATATGTTCATCTGTCTAAAGCAAAAATCAGGGGATTTTGGTGCCAAATTCTTTACAATTTACACGTCTTTTAAACAGAAAACACCCACAATCAATGAGAATATACTGGAACACACACATAAAAATGTCTTCACTTCCTAATGAGAAATACAGGTGAAGTGGCACTACATGAAAAAGCCTGGATAATATAAATGACAAACATCGATCGTTCGGATGGGTGGGGGGGGGTTAACCAAAATTGTTTTCATGTCTGATAATTTGACGATTGTGAGCCCTGAGCCCACTACCGATTGGTCCCGAGGAGCGAGGTATGAATCGAACGCGTCATGCAGTAACATCAAAGATTTATCACAGCCCCAAAAAAACAGAGAAAGAAAGAACGAGAAGGTGTCAATCATCTAATACCTTCCTACACTGAAACAGGTGGAGTTGTACCTCTCGTAGCCGGGGCTGTACCCTCCAACAGATTACACACGTATTATTAGCTATATGTCATTTCTAAGGCACAAATGCATTTTGTCATATTTTCAAAGGATCTTTGTTGCCTCAGTATTTTCTCCCTTAAAACGATACAATTGAGTCAACCGGCTGCGGAAAAAAAACAAAACCTTTACATAAAAACACTCTGAAACGAAGCTAACCTCACATACAAAACGTAACAGAGTGCTGCTCCTCATTCAAGTCAGTTCTTTCTTCACCTAAACCGTGAGAAGGCTCAAACTCACTCAACACATTTTTTTTTTTTTTTTAAACTATCAATGACGACATGACCTGGAGGGGAAAATAAAGAAGAACGACCCCGTGACCGCTACGCCGCTGAATATGCAGGAGATGACGGAGCGAGCTGCTCTACTGCTTCTGGGCGGAGGCGTCTCCTGGGCCCTTGGTGTCTTTACGCTCTACTTCCGCGGAGTCGTCTCCCAGCTCCCCCTCCTGTCCTCCCTGGAACATGTCGTGGGTCCACTTCGGGCTGCTGCCCCCCTTGCGGTAGACGAAGCGCCCCCGGCGGGGCGGGAAGGAACCGCGGCCTCTTCCGCGGCTGTCCACCCAGGTTTTCTCGCCATCACGGTCATCATGCTGGAAGGGCACACAGGCAACGTTAAAAAGGTCAACTCAGATGTCCTTTACACAGCAGGAATATTAAAACCGGCGGGCTGGTCTAGCCCCGCCTCCCCCAAGACTCGACTCAACCCCAAAACTGCAGCGTGTACAGCAGCCTAACTAAATTTAGCCATTATTCATTCTACCAATTAATGACATTATTTCTACTCTGACATGCCACAATGTCTGTGAAAAAGGGCCACGTCGTGAGAGCCTTGTCATGCCACTAAATCAATTAGCAGCTCCAAAGGCTCACCAGGTAATACTTCCTGCTCTTGGGAGTGTATTCAGGGTCCCATTCCTCCTCAGGAGGGCGCACTGCGGGATTTACATTTGCAGGGTTTCCATTGCTGCTGCTGCTGTTGTTGTTGTTGTTGTTGCCTGGATAATTTCCCCTGCTCCACCCTCTCCCTCTGACTCTGGGGAACTGAAATCAAAACAACAAGGTGGATTCAAACTTGCAGTCAAGGGACAGACACATTTTCTACAATAAGATGGACGAATATTTTATTATTATTAATATTTGATATTTTTGGTCCAAGTCAGAGTAAAAATAAGTAAAAGAAATCGACCCAGGGACGATGAGAACGACAGAACACACAGATAAAAAGCCATACTGATGGAAATCAGGCATTTGTTTTAGTGATGAGGTGAAGTTCCACTGATTTACGCCACTTTACCTTAATAAAAATCAGGTAGTGCATGGAATATGTATGAGAGAGTGTCATCATCATTATCATCATCATCATCATCCACATTATGTTCCTTAGCATTAGGAGGAAGGAACAGAGCAGAGAAGCGTAGTCTACTGTGACGCCATTAGGACAAAGAATTGCAAGAAGATGAGATGTCAGTACGTCAGTGACAAAAGAACAGCAATGCAGCAGGAGAGACCAACAAAGACAGGAACTTACAAATCCACGGCCTCGGCCTCTCTCCGCGCTGTGGCCTTCATAGTGGCCTCTGTCTCCGGGCCCGCTGTAGTCGCGTGGAGGGTAGCGACCGTAGCCCTCCTCCGAGTGCTCCATCCCTTCTCCTCCCATGAACTCCTTGCCCCTGTAAGGCGGAGGGTAGGGGGACGGAGAGGAGGAGGAGGACGAGGAGGACGGAGAGCGCTCACGCTTCTTCTTACCCTTCCTGCGAGCACAGAACGTCAAGGTTGGATGCGAGTCTCATTTAAAGAAAAGAATGTGTCAGAACAGTTTGAAGGTAAGATGAGCAGGTTGTGGAAGGTTTGGAGAGTGGTTGACATGACTCACGTTTTCACATATTCCTCCACAACAAAACACAACCGCCTACAGTTTCAGTTAAGAAAGATGTGCATTACATTTTTGCACAAGCCCCTCCCCTAATATTTAACCAAAGCTGCAATGTGAACACATGCAGCCAAAGTTTTAAGGAAAAGAGAGAAAAAACAGCCTCAAGCAGTAATTCGATATTTTTTTAAAGTGCCGGATGTTTGATATTAAATGAATGCTTATTCAACTTTTCCTGCTGCTTCATATTAAGCTTTAACATTTGCACAATCTTAAGTCTATTATTTGCTCATTCCATTCTCTAAACACTCTAAAGCTCTTTTCATCTTAAAACAGATATATTTTACACATTTCTTACTTCTGATTAATGACTCGATTTATACAGTTTTCCCTTTTCTCAAAACACAGAGAAGGCTATAATTCTGAGGTAGTTAGAGGAAAGCAATGGCAGTTGTCTCAAATCATAGCGCCTGACTATTTTGGGCTAGTTAAGAAATGTACTGTAGAACTGGATGAGAACAAAGCAGACTGTGCCTACATATTCGTGGTACGGTGTTCAAATTGAATTATGAGTGTGGGCGAAAAAAAGAAGAAGGGAATAGTTTATCCTGCTCTGCTGCTGTAAATCCCCCAACATAGCAACAATAGTAACCACTTCTCCAACCATTGTGTGCCCTGTGGCCTTGTTGCTGATGTGAAGGACTCTGTAGGGGGAACAGTCTGAACCTACTTGGATTTCTTGTGGTGTTTCCCAGATTTCTCAGAGGACTTCTCTCTGCTCGCTCCTCGGGAGCCTCCGGGGCTCCTGCCTCCCTCGCGCTTGGAGTCCTTCCCGGCAAACCTCTTACGCCTTTCAATATCCAGGCGAAGGTCCATCACGTCGCCTTTGAACTTTTTACTTGGATCCTGCAGGAATGCGTGTTTATTAGCCAAGAAAACAGCTGTTTGTAAGACTTGAGGACAGATTCAGAAATGCTACAAAACTGAAATGAAATGACTGCATTACAAGTAAAGGTGAACATGCATGAAGTATTGTGTTCCCTCTAGTGGTTAAGACACAGAGTAATACTAAATATTCCTAAGAAATGACTTTTCACAATATAATATAAAAGCATTGGTGGAAACCAGCAGCATGCATGTAGCTCAAGAAAACAAATTCAATTTTACAGGGTTTTTTTGTAGCTTGATTTTTTTTCTTTCAAGAAGAATACTTACAAGGTAAAGGCACTGATAAGCGTCCCTTGAGAGGCTTGGACTCGGGATCTTAATTCACTTCCTTTTAGCCTTTGCTCGGGCATACCCAATCAATAACCATATCTCATAGGCTGGGGGGGCTTGCTCGGCACTTACAAAACACAATTGGGCTCTTTTGATTTAGAAATATGCATCCTTTGAAAGAAAAGCACAAAGCTGAACACTGCTGCTTTTGGGTCGTCTCAAAATTTTGCTTGTTCCAAATACGTCAAATTTCAAAATGGCAGGTCACCTTGTAGCTGGTCTCCTCCATATCCTCAAACAGGTGAGAGTGCCTCTTAAAAGCACTGGGGGAAACATCGATTCTCCTGGGAGAAGAGGAGAAACCGCTGATGTCAATAACAGATTAGCATTTTTAGAAGCTGAAATCACCTCAGATCGGATAGTTGGACGTTGAGGTACCTGTGGATTTCTGGGCTCTTCCTTGGCTTCATCATTTCTACCTCTGCAGCTTTTCTTTGGTACATGGCAAACCGCTCACTTAAAGTCATGTCTGACGATTGGAAGTGTTGCGCTGCGAATAAAGAACAACAAACTGTTATTCCAAGATACAGCAGCGATTGAACATATAACATATAATCAAGTAACGAAATGTCCGGTGGATCTCATCGACTGTCCAAACTCCCGTCATCTTGTCATCTCGAGTCTGCAGGGACACAAGCCAGCACAGATCCCACTTTACCTTTGATGTAGTGCACGATTGAGACTATGTGCTGAGCAAACAGCTCAGAGGGGCTGCGACGGAGCTGTGGTGACTGAACGTGCTGGAAAATGGAACGGAACTCCGGATCTTTCTTCGTGGGATTCTGCAGCTCTCGGGGCACGAGGCGCTCTTTAGACAGGGAGGAGCTGAGGGAACAGAAGAGGAACATTGAGACGTAAAAACATCTACCGTATCGGCCCAAATACAGGATGAGTCGGCCGTAGTTCGAACATACAGAGTGGCTTTCCCCAAACACCTGTTTTAGTATGAAAATTGTAATTTCCACATTCAAAACTTGAATTGAATCATCTGTAAAGCCAAGAATTACCAGAGCAACACAAGGTCACGAGGGCAAACTCAGATTAAAGCCGGAGAAAATCATCCCGACCACTATGGGAGGATGTGATTCATGTAAAAGCTCTTCACATGTGGGATTTACATTCTATTATATTTGGAGTGTGTCACGTTTCCCTTGTATGAGACAAATGGGGGCAAAAACAAAGACGAGTATCTGTTGAAATTGTCCCCTCTGTTTGTTGGAAAAGGAGAGGTCTTATGTTCCGGCCAATATGCTAATATTGCATGAACGGTTATAAATACCTGGGCATTTCACCTACAGAACCGATTTTGTGTTCAAAGTCGTCTCTTGACGCAGACAGGTGTCGCACAGGTGACTCCTCGCGCCGAGGGAAAGCTCCGGGAAACAGCGGGCGCTCCTTCTCTCTGGAAGTTGCGGGAGGGGACAGACTCCTTCTGGACTTCTCCTTGTCTTTCTTCTCCTTCTTCTTGGACTTCTCCTCCTTCTTGGAGCTGTGCTTGCGGCCTCGGTAGAACTCCTCCTCCATGTGTTCAAGGGGCTCTGCCTCTTCAGCATCTCTGCGGCTCTTCTCCTTAACCGACGGGTAGGACGTGGAATAGCTCGGCTCGTCCCCCCACTTCCCGAAAATGTCCCGAGCGGTGAGGGTGGTTTTGACCTCCCCGTCCTCATCAATGTCCCTCTCTTTCAGCCCGTGCGACTTGAGGAACTCCTCTTCTCCGGCGTCGAAGAAAGGCAGGGTCTTGTCCTCCTTGGAGTCGCTTAAAGAAGTGGACGAGATGTTGAAAAGGTCTCCAGACTTGCCTCCTTTCTCTAGCTCACGGTCTGTGGTGCTCTGCTCTTTATCGCGACCGTTCTCCTTTTCAGCAGCCTGCTTTTTGTTTTTGTTCTCGGCCAAGAACCTGAAACAGAAAACCAGACTGAGCTTTAGTACCTGCGACGCTCGTTGTAGGACTCACATTGAGATAAGCATACTCACGTAACCACCACCGTCCTAAGTAAGTGGGATTTCACACAACTTCATCAACGGCCGGCTACATTCTCAATGCACTTAAAATCTGGAGTTTTACGTTTTCCTTTTTAACCTGTATTCCTCCAGGGAACTTTGAAAAAAAAGGCTAGATGTGTTTGAAAGAAAGATAAGGTAAGAATAGAAAAGAACACCATGTAACTACATTCAAATAACTACAAACGGACTAGACCTACTTTTTGAAGGCAGCAGAGATCACAGTCTTATCTTCACATTTGGCCTCTTCCTTCGAGAAGAACCCAAAGCCACTGAAGGAGGCCGTTTGTCCGGACTTCGTGGGGCTCTTTGCTGGAGGGGACACGGTGCCGATGGTTTTCCACATAGGACCGCCAGTCGCGGGAGCTTTGCTGTCAGGACCAGTGGGGCCACCTTCTTTCTTAATGTCTGGGCTGATTCGTTTAGGACTGGCATCATAGTCAATCCATTTACCTCCGGATGCCTTCTCGATGGCACTGCCGTCTGCTGCCAGACCCGATTTCTCTCCCTGACTTTCTAGCTTGTCCTTAGCATCCTTGGAGCCGGGCTTGCCCTTGCTGCTGCGATGATGCGGCGACGAGGACCGGGACCGCGAGGAGTAGCTGGAGTGCTTGGAGCGCCGAGATCCCCGCGAGGACGAGCGGTCGGAGTAGTGGGAGCGGCTCCGGCTGCCCGAGCGCTTCTTGGGCGTGCGGGAGCGTGAGCGGCCCCTCCTGGGGCTGTGCGCATGGTGGTCCTGGTCATGGTGGCGATCGTGCCAGCCTCCACCGCCACCACCGCCGCCGCCGCCACCACCACCACCACCACCACCACCGCCGCCACCGCCAACACCGCCCTGCCAGTTGGACTTATAGCCGTAGCCACCTCCTCCCCTGTTCTGGTAATGGCTGCGTGGGTAATAGCCTCGGTTTCTGGCACGGTAGTGGTAGGGCCTCCGGAAGCCTCGGTTGTAGCCTCGGAACCCTCCTCTGTTGTTCTGATAGTCCCTGGAAGGATAGTTTCTGTAGGACGGAGAGTGTGAGCGAGAGCGGGAACGAGACCTGGAGCTGGAAGAGGGAGAGAAAGACAGAAGAAAATGTATGTTATTCGGGGAATAGCATGTGTTGTAGCCGAACACAAATATCAACCTTGCAAGTCAAAAGCCACGCAGTCCGCACATTTAAGCAACAGACTGTAGCCAGAATCCTACTTACGGCATCGACTGGGATGCTCCATATACAGCCGCCTTTCACCTGATAGAAACTCCATACTCTGATCACATGACAGCAACAAGGGGTTCCTGACCAAAGAAATCCTTAATCGACTAACACTCGATACTCATACATACGATTTTCTCGACTAATCGATTGGTTGATTTAATCAACAGATCTGTAAAACGAAGCTTCTCCACAAAAGCACAAAAGACTTTAAATGTTACGTTGAGGATCTTATTTTGTCAAACTGCTGTCTCCACCGTCAAGCTGCCACCGAGCCAAAACTGTTACACAGAAATTACACAAGAAAATATAAAAAGTTTAAAAGCCTTTAAAACAGATTTCATGGTGGAATTCTAAATACATACATGTACATGTTAACATGCTAGGTTACAACCTACACATGGTGGCACAAACAGCCTCCTTCAGGATGTAGCCTGTAGTGAACCGGCCCTCTTGAAAGTGATCTTAGCTGCTCTGAGGCATGTGATCCACCCGGTGGTTATACTTCGTATTGTCACCCGAGGGTTTATTGGCTTCTTGCTCAGGTGTTTGCGATCGTCTTGTATGTGTGCTGAGGGCTGCACCCTGGAGAAGGTTGTTTGTGCCGCCAAGCGTGTTTAATAACCCAGCTCTATCTGAACGTGTACGAACGTTGTCTATGTTTGTTTTTAGAAGTTCACCATGAAATAGCCATCTGATGAAAGGCTTCTTAACTTTTTACCAGAAGAGGGCCTTGGACCTTCTTTTTTTTTTTTACTTCTGTGTTCCCTACCAAAAAGCCTTCTGGACTTTTTCTTTGTCTTTTGAAAATAAAATGCAATTGCCTAATTCAGAGCCAGCTGTAAATGACAAAAAGGAGTGTAGCTGTACAACAGTATTCAAACGGAACATGAGTGCATGGTTTAAATCATTCTACTACCATCCACACCAAGCTGACATGATCCCAAAGGATTTATTTATGCAAAAATTCAAAAAATAAATGTGATTTAGAAGATTTATTGTCCAGTTTCTTTCTTGTTATTAAACCTGAAATAAATAATGTGATTAGTCTATCGACAGAACATTCATCAGGCAACTACTTAAATGATCGATTAATTGTTTGTCATTAAGCAAAAATGTCAGACATTCACTGATTCCAACGTTTCAAACGTAAGCATTTATTTGTCTTCTTTGTCTTCCATATTAATAAAGATGTAACACCTCTGTGTTTTAACTGTTGCTTGGATAAATTAAGCAATTTGAGGACGTCTCTTTCGGGTTTGACAACTCATTCAATTTTTTCACAAATCCAGAAAAATAATCAGAAGCTTATTGGAAAATTATAAATATTGCAGCCCTATAATATAGTGTGCATTTACAAGAGACGGTGTTAAAAGATAAGGCCGATAACACTTATACTATGACAACTTCTCAAAACTCATTTATCTGAGATTCCTCCTGTTTTATAGACCCCCAGGTGTACACAATGGCCCCTGGAGGTCCCGAAGCTGTGTACTGGGTAACCTTGACAGGAGACAGAGGCCTACTACTGCCCACTGTCAACAGGGGGCGATGTAAGCTCAGTGACGGCTGGGAAGTAGCTCCAATGAGCACCGTCCCAGTCATTCCCTCCAAGAGGCACAAATGTAAACAAAAACTTAACTTACATACACAATATCACACAACGGTCTCCTGTGCCAAGAATCATTTCTGAAACCGCTTTTAGCATAACTCTAAAGTGGGAACAATACAACAGAGGAATTTAAACTGGAAGACAAAACACATGATGACAGACGTAATGTAAATTGTAAATTCAGGGATATGAGAAATGTGACTGACACAATATTAACACCACACCTGTCACGATGGCTTGTAAAGCCACAGACAAAAACATTACGTTTACAACTACATGCCAGCTACATATTTAACCCTTGTACCTTTTCATCGGAGCAGAGCAGTCCTGGACAAAAGACAGTGTCGTCCCACAAGCAGGACGGTCTGTGTGGCTTTAATTTATGTGTTAGACACCCAGGACGCAACCTGCTCTAATCCACAGAGGGAGGAGGCAGTGGAGGGGGAGGGAGGAACAACAAGGCCAAGAGCACTTGCTTTTTTCACTCCTTTTTCCGTTTGACAATCATTGACCTGCAGTGTAGCCGATGCAAACAGCTTGAGGCTCTGACGGCCTTTTCTCTCACACAGGAAACACATTTATGCAAATTAAGCGCAAACATCGAACGAGTGAGGCCTGGTAAGAGAAGAGCAATAAGGAAATAACTTCTAGTTCACAATATCAAGTGTGTATCTGGTACGTCCTTGATGGACATATAGACATGGTCGGACTCATGGTGGACAGTTTTAAATAAAGAATTAAAATTTATGCAGCAGAACCAGACATGTCATCTGTTTTGTTCTATTTGTTGCAAACAGCACAGGAGTGCTGTGTCACAGAAGTGATTTCACTTCAGTGTCATGAAGAAATAAATGGTGAGTAAACACACAACTGAAACTTGAGCAGGCTGTTTCCTTATTGCTCTGTACTCTCCTACAAACAGAGCCAGATATTTTTACACCAGTGCACTACAGCTGATGTTTGTGTTGTTGATTCTGAACCACATCCTGCATATCATACAATCTATGAAGACACCCATTTGTAATATCAATTCAAACCCCCAAAAATAGCCCCCACTTTCACTAAGTAAAAGTATATAAATACTAACAGTAGTTAATTACATTCATGTAACAAAACTGTAATAGTAGCTGTCATCACTGTGCAAAATGTTGTTTCCAAACTACGTTTTAAATATGAGTGGAACGCTGCTGAATATTAACCACATACACTTAAAAAAAGACAATGGTGTAGGTTAATGTCAGAAACTCAAAAACTGGATTTACCTATAGCGACGTTTTCTGGATCTTGAGCGGGAGCGGCTCCGAGAGTGAGACCTGGAGTAAGACCTGGATTTGGACCTCGATCTGGAGCGGGACCGAGCTGGGGAATCCGGAGCCTTCGACATCTTTGCACTCAGACCAGTCCAACTGTTCTTTTCCTTAAAAACAAAACAAGAAAACAACTTAATTTGATTGGTTTTACTTAATGTTCACAAGGGGAATGAAACCGATACAACGTTAAGCAATTATGCCCTTCAAAGAAAAAGAAAAAAAGAATTCAAACAAATCCGGGGGGGTTCTAAGAACATACAGGAAGTTACAGAAATAGACATCCTGTTCTATATGTAAGATACTTGTAGTTTGCAGACAACATTACAACTATATTTTGGCCCTAGTAAAACCTGGGCCGCCTCGATCTCGTGTGGCGCGTGTGCATGACATCAGAGCAAGTATGAGCGATGTGAAACAGGTTGAGCTTCTGTGCAGCACGATGTGAAGGCTGCTGCTGAAAAGAAGGGAGGTGTGGCTCAACGTCAAGAACAAATCATCCTGAACAGTGCAGCTGTACAAAAGCACGACCCTTCCAATGACAGGATACAGCCTACGACCAACAATCAGCTCTGTGGGTAACTGTATTGAAGTAAGGCTATGGTGAGGAGCTTGCGCTGCGTGTGATACTTACAAATATATATACAGTCCTTCGTTGGGGGCTAAGGGGTTAAGACGCTGAACCACAACATCTCTGGATACAATCTGGCCAGACTTTCAGTAATCTCCCTCCCTCGTTTATCATCGTCTCGCTACTACTGCGATGTAATAAAAGGCATAAAAAGATTCAAGATGTGGTTATAAAGTTTTAAAACTTAGATCCGTGAAGTACGATGTTTCTTGTTTGTTTTGTCACCACAAAAGAAGAACAAACACTGGATGTTTTCCGTTGATGGCCCAGCCGTAACTTTGTAGTAAACAAACAGTGCTTCAGTTAAGTGACATTGACCCCTTACCAAACTATTGAATCAACACTAACCGAAAATGACAACCCCATGTGCAACATGGCATCACTTATTTCATCCCAACCCTTGAGATAAAGAAAAAAAATATTCTTTATGTGTACATACGTTAAGAAAAAAATGCATATATATATATATACGCTAGTTTCTAGCAAGGAGAAAAATATAAATACTAAAAAGAATTGCAGCATGTGTCTATCTTGATGCCTATTTGCCAAGATGTTCCAAATTACCTAAAATATGTTTTCTCTTCATGCATCTTTTCTACAAAACGGAGATCAGAGTCTCTTGCACAGCAGCGGCCCTGGTCTGGAGCAGGTAGTGCTGCTTTTACTACAACAGGGACTCCTTAGTGCTAAAAAAAAAGGCAGCGTACTAATGACGTCAATCTGCTATTCCATTGGTTAAATCAAAGTCTGAAGCGCTTGCGTCTTATTCAAGATTCCCTTTGAGAGCCCAATGAAATGCATTGAATGCTATGGCTTTTTTTCTATGTATGAAGAGACAACAGTGGCTACGTGTAAAAGAACGGTTGCTACAAGGTTTCCCCTGCCTCTAGAAATCTGAAGCAGGCCACTCAAGGGTACTATTGACCACCAAAGGCCCTCATTGCTCTTCTGCTGAACCTCAAACGTTCAATACACATAATTAAGGTACCGCTTTGCATGCCCTGCTTGTTAGGTAGGCTACCTCAATCACTTAAGTCCCATGTTAAATAAGGGAAACCCCTCTCTCGCATCAAGAAACAACATTCATGCTAATCATTTCAAATGTAAAGTCATAGTTGTGAGTTGTATGGCTGAAATTCTCAACAAGCAGGTTTCAACGAGCAAGTTTAATATGCAAGAGCTGTGAAAACTAAGATAGTAGCCTAAAAGCACACAGAGGGACCTTATGATAGCCAAAGCAATATGGGTGACAATTAGGTCTTTTTAACAGTTTATATTCATAGCATCCTCTCTGAATCGTTTCTTCCCTGCAGACCTCATGCTAGGCGCTCTGAATGATAATTACAAGGAGGTGCATGAGTGAGTTGACTTTCACCGCATTATCTACGGTTTGCGCACAAAGCACAGCTCTCCCCTTGACATCAAAACAAAAAATAGACGTAAAAGGCAGCATGAAGAATTTCAGGTTTTTCCATTTCATCACTGGCAAAGATCTTTGACAGTCTGTACTGCTTTAAGTCCGGTTATCATCTATTAGAATAAAGCATCATTTTAAATATGCAACACTTTACTTTCTTGTTTCTGTAGCTCCAACTCGTATTATCTATCAAATAATGTATGCTTTAAAAAAAAGCTGAGAAGTAGCTGGACTGGTTGTGTGGGTTGATGTTAAAAGAAGGGTATGCACCATCCAACCAAAGACGGACACATAATATATATATATATAATTGTGGAGGAAATATCTGTGAAACTTGTGAACTGGAAAGGCCCAGGGCAGTAGTCAAAGACAGGGTTGGAGTTGCTCCAGTCAAAAGCAAATAAAGTCTAGTTTAAGTGATTGTTTTTAATAATGGTGTAATTCACTAAAGTTAAGGTCAAGCTCTTTAAAATCTGCAAACAATGTAGTATTTCCATCTTGATCCTTGTAAATTATATCATAAAACGTAGCAGCCAAGAAATAATATCAGACAGCTGTTTAATACTATTGGAGATGTACTACCAGTGGTGGAATGTAACTATAACTAAGTACAATTACTCAAGTGCTGCATTTGATTACAATGTTGAGCTGCTGGTAATTTACTTGAGTAGTTGCATTTCATGGCACTTTACACATTTTGGAAGCCAACATTGTGCCTGACTCCACAGCACGCATTTCAAAACAAAGGGGACTAACTACTTTGCAGATTCTAATCATTAATACAAATTAATAAATGATGGTGTATTATTATGGATTAAGCTACCCTGTAGTATATTAAAAACCCTCATCTACCAGCTAAAATATTGAAGTAATGTACTTAAATACATCAATAATTATAATCTAGTCAGAAAACGATAATATATATGTTGCTGAAATATCCATTACGAACAATGAGTACTTTTACTTTAAATATATTTTGATGCTTTTTGTACTTCAATTGGAGTACGATTATGAAGGCGTGCCTTTTAACGTCACGTTACTTGTAACAGAGTATTTCTTACAGTATAGTATTGCTACTTTTGATGTAATAAAAATATCTGAATACTTCTTCCGCGACTGGATATACAAGTCACGAACACAAGCCCCTGGGTTTAATGGTTAATCGATCCTTTTGGTTGTATGTTTAGCTCACGTTAGTTAACTGCGTTAATAATCACCATTTAAGGCTACGACGTCGTATAAGATTACCTGTCCACCACATCAACAGCAAATATAACTAACAACAAACAAAACAATGTAAAATACATGAAGCTAGCTTTGCCAAACGTGCAGCTGCGGGGGCACACGGCACTGTAATCAACACTGAAGTCCAATATCATTGACTAGAGCTATCGATACGGGCCACCGTTAACATGCTTAACGTTACCATTAGCGAAGCAGTGGACGCTCCTGACGTCAACTGTCAACTTAGCTACAAAATTAAGTTACAATTACCTTTTCCCCGTTTTCACAAGACTGGTCAAGGCTCGTGTTTATGAATAAATGTTAGAGTAGCTAACCGTGGAGGCTGCTCGTCTGGTCCTCCTTCCTGGTTCTACTCCGTGGTTTCACTGTAACGTTACGAGTGTAAGCGGATGTTAGCAACCTAGCTTGTTAGCAGCGGGATCGTTGCCAACTAGGCCACCAAAACAGACGCACTGCGCCCTTAGAAGAGGGTAGGCGCCTGGACTGCCGCGACATGCGCCATTATATGTATCTGCGGATGCTTCTATGTGTTTTTCAAATGTGCTGAATGGAAGTTTTTGGCGGCATCACGCTCTAACGATCGAGAGACACAGTTAGCTCGCGATGCTACATTCGCTACGCCCTAATCGCGCGAGAGTTTGTGTGTCGTGAAGTGTTGATGTCCGGGAGGCGAAGCTATGGGGCAAAGGCAGGGTCAACTTTCCTCTGAGGGTGTGATGGAGTATCTGGTGCAGTATTGTTCTCGCTGTAACACCTGTCGCACAGGTACGTAGCTGGATTAATATGCCTGACGGCCCCCGTTCTCCTCCCCTCTCTGTGTAACTGATTAAACACAAATGCCCTACTTTAGGAATATGCAGCGCTAGTGGAAGAAGTACGCTACTTAGATCTGTTTGTAAAAACACTCTGTTACAAGTAAAAGTACTGCATTCAACATTTTACTGAAGCAGATCAGTAAAAGTGTTGACATCAAATTATATTTAAAATATCAAAAGTAGAAGTAGTCTTCTCATTATGCAGAATGGCCCATTTCAGAATCGTATTATTACTGGGTTATAATTATTGATGAATTAATGTGTTCATCACTTTAATGTTGCAGCCAGTAAAGATGGAGCTACTTTTAACTACTTAGTGTATATACTGCAAGGCAGCCTAGCCTAGAACAATATATCATAATTTAGTCGATTTACATTTTGTATTAATTATCTCAATCTGCAAAGTAATGTAGTCAGATAAATCTAGTGGAGTGAAAAGTGCAATATTTGCTACTGAAATGTAGGAGAGAAAGCTCTGCTTTAAGTATTTATAACCTGCATCACAGGTTTCCCTCGATGGATCCCTACTTAGAGTTTACATCAGTGGGGCAGCACAGAAGTGTTATCCTGTTGCGGAAAGAGACTTTGCTTTGTTTATTACCGGATCAACATCCATGAGGATCAGTTTGTATTGTTTATTAGTGACACATATTCGCATATTCCCAAACAAAGTGCCAATTTACCAGCTAACATCTCAGATTTGGTTCCTGGTAATCAAAGAATTAAGAACTTCCTGCGCACTTATGTGACAAAATGACTTTGGTTGTCCACTTTAATACCGCCATGCACGAATCTATTCCATACTCATATGTGGTAAGGGGCCATTCTTTATGTCTTCATGCTTTTCAGTACCTCCTTTGTGGTTTTCTGATAGGAAAAACTGTTTCAAGCTGTTTTTCTTCGAACACCAGTAACACATTTACAGAAATATATCGATGGGGTTTGTTCCTGTAAATAAACAAGTGAAATGAGAAAAATTGTCAGGATCCTCTCACACTGACTTTTCCTTTTTGGGTTAATTACTTCATTGAAACAAAAGACCCGTTGACTTTTCACAGCTTTAGAAATGTCTTTTGTGTGTCAAACACACAGCTGTCTTTTAGCTTGGCGTTGGTGTCCATAGGGTCTGTGCTGCACTATTTTTATCAGACTAAAAGCCACGTTACGCCTCCTATCACAGAGACAGATTCCACCCGGGACACCAGGGCCCACTCAGCCTCGGCCAAAACACAAATACACTTAGTTACTAAAGTTATAGTCTGTCTCATCTCACTGACATGTTTCCTGTTAGAGAGTTAGAATCATTTTTAGTCATTTCTTCCAATAGGGACGTTACGTCAGTGTATATTCAAGGCTGAGGGATGTGTGGCGAGTTTTGGTGAGATGTTTTGAATCAAAATATAGAAAATAAGACATTTCAAGTAAGAGTACGAACTGAATCGCTGGCTTCCCTGACTATAAAAGGTCTTTTTGTTAAGTTGTGTACCATCTGTTTCCCGTCAGAGAACCTTTAATCCCACATAGTGACGAGGAAATCAATCCTCAACAACCAGCGTCTGGAGTGTCGTCTCAATTCTCCTCTCTAATACACAACAGCTTTATTGTTCAAGTCGTTTTTGAACACTTTACCCCCACTTTTAATCTCTCTTATACACATATAGACACTCAGATATTACAAAGCCAGAGGGTACAAAATATGATAATACATGGGGAACAATTAATTGATGTAGTACAGTAATATTTTATATCCACTGTCTTAAGTCAACATGGTGTAACAATCTCATACTTCCTGCATCACAGTCATAGTACATTTATACTACTGTCCATATCTGATCTATAGTGTATACAGTATATCCATATCATACCCTTATCTCTGTATAGAGTGTCTCACTATTGCCATTACTTGTACTTATACCTACACTGTATATATATATATATATATATATATATTCATACTGTATTGGATGCTAGTTGAATTTAATCCAAAACTTGATAATCAGGTGCACCACTAAAGACTGTCATCCCAGTTCATGCACTGGGATGAAGTGCAGCTGCAGCCTCAAAACCCAACTGTCTGTCTGTCGCTCCCCGTGATAACAACATTTCATCTGGTCCACAGTCCGCTTATAAGACCTGGTTTGAATTCCTACAACCCCGCATGGCACTCTGTGATCATGTCGCTCCTCGTTGACCCTTGGCTAAGACATGCAAACAGTCGCAGCACAGGTGCTGGACACTTGGACGCGCCAAAGTTAAAATTAACCCCCCCCCCCCCCCCCTTCCCTCCTTTGGCCACAATGTGACGGGCAGACATGGCTCCTTGTCTGTCACTCACTGTTACAAGCTGTTTATGTGGCATCGCCCGGAGGTTTGAATTCCAAGTGGCAGAGGGCAACTCTGACCAGTGAGCTCCCGTGATGAAAAGTGAAATAAGAGTCAGTGGGATTTAAGGGGATTGTGGCAGCAACATGAAACGTGTGGAGCATTTTGTGTCATCATTCAAAATAGAACAGAAAAAACAAGCAACGAGCAAGAATATAACGACAGCAAAGGAGCACAAACAAGTTCTGAAATATTATCTTTGATAGGATAGGATATTTTGATGAACTTATTTATTTCTCTGAAGTAGAACAAGCGACTTTTTCCTCTAATTGAAGCAAAATTGCATCAAAAGTGAAACACAAACAACTTACTTAGAGACCATTAAATCTTGCACTTATAAGAAAGCTGTGAAGGCTGTAAATGAGTGTACTGCTTTCAGTGGTGGAGGAAGTAATCTATTCCTTTACTTAAGGAAAAGTAGAAATATTGAAACATAAATATTCCATTACATGAGTAAAAGTCCTGAATTCAAAATATGATTTAAATAAAAATACTAGTATTTTGATACTTTAAATGTACTTAAAGTATCAAAAATAAAAGTACTCATTATCCGGAATGGCTCCTTCAAAAGTGTTATAGAATATTAGAACATTCTGTCTTTGTAACTCTAATGTTGTACAGTTCTTCAATATGGAGACACGTTTAGATACTTTAAATACTGCAATAGTACTGCATCACATCATACAAACATATGACGTGTTCAGATAAAGTAACTAGTACTGTCAAATAAGTGTATTGGAGTAAAAAGTACAGTATTTCCCTCTGAGATGTAGTGGAGTAGAAGTATGAAATGGAAATACTCGAGTAAAGTTCAAGTACCTCAATATGTACTTAAGTACACTACTCGATTGAATTTACGGTTACGTTCCACCACTGATTGCTTTCAATGTCTTTTAATGTTAATGTCTTTATTTAATTATCTTCTGTTGGCATTTTGTTCTGAGGCTTCTACTGTGAAACATTTGATTCAATCAGGAATAGATGGTTAGACCTTGAAACCTTCAACTCAAATTACAAAAAAACATAGCAGCACAAAGAATGTAAGATCTGTAAACACGTGTGAGAGAGACAGAAAAGCAAGTAAAAGGCTCACCTTGCAGGGGAGAGTGAAAGTGAACAGAGAAGAGCGAGACGTCTCTCTGCCTCCTCGTTTATAGAAACGTGTGAGGAAGAAACCTCAGTGGTGGCTGTTGAGAACGAAGCACCCACCACTGTCTGACAAGCACTTGATGAAATCACATCTCAATTATAAATAGTTGACCCTCTGGAAGCGTTTTTCAGTGATGTTGCTGTTGTTTGAAGTGATGATCTGGGAGTTACAGTATGCCTTTGCTTCCACACGTTGAGATGCCCTGCAGGGGTCTGCTGCTGATTCCTCAGGGAACACACAGACGGATTAAAGGTGCATCATCGTTCATACTCGACACTGATCCCATCTCATTTGTCGTGTGAGGGATGGGCAGGTTGAAACACTCAGCTGCATGACAGACATTTTAAACTGTGTATCCTGTTGCTTTTGGCTGAAAGTCCAGTGTAAATGTAAGCGGCGAGAAGCCACACTTCGTGCTCAGCCTCAGCCCTGTTCACAGATCACAGATGTTTTTAGCCAACCTGACCAAAATTCTGTCATGTCAATGCACTGCATGTAATGTATTCTTTTCTGTATCTATAGTCGCTGCTGTGATTTGATGTTGTTGTCCTGTCATGGGTTGGATGTTGCGTGTCGCCTTACTTCCTGGTTTAATGAATGTTGTATATAGGGAAAGAGAGAGACACTGACACTCTTCAGTCAGGCTGATATCTGTGCTTCCACTTTGATTAGGCAATAAACAATCAATGTGGGTTTAGAGATAGCAGCCTGACAGAAGCTAAAGAAGCCCTACACGACGTCACATTGTAGTGTTCAAACACGGATGCTTTTCGTATCACAGTCATAAAGAGGTTTTGCAAAAAACAAACTGTTCAGAATCCCTGAATAGCAACAGGATAACATAACTCTATTTGGATGATCTTACCCAGAACTGGTAACCATGCTATCATTTGCTAATTAGCACTAAGCACAAAGTTCAGCTGAGGGGAATGTCAGTACTTTTGCTGTTTTTTTGTATGATTCATCCTCTGGGGAACACGAATGTGTGTACAATATTTTATGACAATCCATCCGATAGTTGTTGAGATAGTTCAGTCTCAACCAAAGTGGTGGGCCGACCGACAGTCATTGCCGTCAATAAGTGAAGGACTACTGCAGTGTTGCACCTGTCTGGTGTAACCGGAGTAACGTTACCATGTTAACATCCACTGATTGGACAAACAATGGAAACACAATAGAACCATGAATTGCAGAGCCAGAGAAGTAAATCGGGTCTCATTATGCACAACGTGGACCGACTCTTTGTATGCAGCGCTGCATTGTTTGGTGAGAAAGCTTTCTACTTACACAGTCCCCACCCAAACCAGAGCAAACAGAGACATACAAACATGTCCTCCCCCTACGGGTTTCTGTCCAGAATCACATCTCTGTGCCCAGCTGCAGCGTGGTCATATTGAACCCAGCTCCAGTGTATTCTGTGAGTCATTCGATATGCTAGCAACCCTGTGACAGATGCACTGTGACCCAAACCCATCGGCCGCTGCAGCAATGAGAGTCCTGTTTGAGGACAACGTTACCTGGAGCTGAGGGGAAAACGGCAGCGACCACAAGGCTTCTAATATTTGATTGCTAGAGTGCATTATAGCAAGTGGACAGCAAGTCTCATGCACACACCTTTGATCCCTTGGCTGGAGTTCCCCTCAGAGCTGGACGGGGTCAGTTCTCTGCTCTGTGTAACATAAAGCCACAGCCAAACAAACACAGGCTGAAAACAGAGGCACCCTTTAGCCCCCCTTTTTTTTGTCTCTATTTCATACATAAAATCCCATTTCCCAGGGACAATTTCCTGTCTCTCTACACTTTCAACTATCAAATAAAATAAAAGAATAATATAAAATACTGTTTGTTACTGTATGCAAATCAGGTGAAATAGGGTTCACACATAGCTCTAGTCACGACCACAGGAAATGCGATTAATCAAATTGAGTAGAGACACAACAAAAACCTCCAGAGTATTTCAGGTGTCATGGCTTCATTGACCATTTGTCAATTTGCATATTTGTTGGTACAGCCACTCTCATATTTGCCTTTTGTTTAGGGGTCTTGCTGTTTTATAATAGTTCTTCATATTAGATTGCCATCCTATCCCATAATGTTTCCTAAATATATTTGTAATGTGTTCACATTACTTCTGGGAACAAGTTTAATCATCTAAATCTTAAGAGAACTGCCCCAAATTTCACAAAAGAAAAATGCCAGATTCACTCTTCATTGGGAATCAGCTGATGAAAACAGTTGTTTAAAGTGTGGGGAAATAACAGAAAGCTTGCATTAATACTGTGGCATTGAGTTTTAAAGAGATGGAATTTACTGTGGGAGGCATGGAGGGTCTAACAAAGAGATGCAATTGCATTATGGGAAATGTAGGATCCAGTGTTTTTGAAGCTTGATCAAAACTAGAGGTAAGAGTCAGGATAGCTTGGCCTCGGCTGCTTTAATCTTATATTAATTAATTAATGTGTGTCTCAAAATTCCACTGACTTTATGAAAAAGCAATACTAAATTGCCAGAGAACCCGTAGCTGATGATGTTTCGAGTATTCACATACATTTAGTCAAAAAAAGAGATTTGTATGTGATTAAAGACATTTTACTTTTAATGTATTAAAATATTCCACCATCATAAGCACCCATGATGGAACAGATGGAGTACAATGGTTGTAAATGTGTCTGATTACTGGTAGTGGCGCTCACAGGTGCAGTTATTTACATCTCATTGAAATCATCTGTGCTGCCATCTTCTGGTCCCTCTGAACATTGTAACTCTGGGACAGCGAGCTCTGGACCTGCACTTAATGCTGATGTGTGTTCATTTGTTTCCCCATAAAGTCAAACAAGATGCTACCTGAGACAATACAAAGGAGGCTGATATCACATTTATTACTTTGGATTACCAGGCTGAATTCAATTTTAACTGGCAACAATAAACATTTTCAATTCAATTAGTTGTAATCTTCATTCAGTCACTCTAAAATGAACCTTTTCTGCAGGTCCACCATGCCATATATGTATATGCTGTAAATCAAGCTCAGGATGATTCGCCGTTGAGTTCCTATTTAAAAAAAAACACAGACTGTCTGATCTTATGCCACAGTTCACGATACATAATCAGCCAAGAGTTCTTCTAGAAACAAAGACGTGTGTTCAAAATTAACTACAATAAACTCAATTTTACTAAAGAATGAATTGGCCAGATTAAGATTACTGTGTAAAAAAAAACAAAACCACGTTTTCTTTCTGAAATGCTGCTATAAAAATTAAGTCATGGGCTAAATGTTTGGTGGAAATACTAACAACTCATAGACATCCGACATGAGCAACAACCAGACCAAGCCCAGAAGGTTGGAAACCACCAGCTTCACCTTTAACAATGTGTTGCACTTTATTAACTCATCATATACATTTTATGTAAAATATTAATCTGAAAAGTAACTAGTAACTAAAGCTGTCAAATAAATGAAGTGGAATAAGAAGTACAATCCTTCTTTCGGAGATGTAGAGGAGTAGAAGTATTTAAGTGGCACAAAATAGAACCTGTAAACTGTACTTAATACTTGAGTAAATATAATACCATCTCATGTCCGTGTGATGCAAAAGCGTCTCTACGGTTTGTTATTATACTGTAATTGTGCAGCTTTATTATAAAATCTGACATTAATATGAATTTGCAGCATTAGTTGCTTCAAATCACTGCAGAAGGAGTGAATATCTAATGTTTGCCAATAATAATAATAATAATAACAATTCACATAAACGCAGGAGCCCAGTCCCTTTCATAAAGCTTTATTTCACAGATCCCCTGTAACAGGAGGCCTAGGCAGCCAGGCTCATTATACATTTACATACACTGTCTGTGGCCAGTCCTTACAACGCTCCCCATGTTAAATAACTCAATAATTCAAGACGAAAACAACAACAAAAAACACACACACCCACACACACACACACAGTTCAACTTAAGATAACAATAACAATATCGCAACGACGGTAATAATAAGAACCATTGTCAAATATTATGTATTTTCTAAAATTTGTTACACAGTCAGTCATTTTTAAGGTGCACCATAAAATCTGCATGTGACATTTCAATAAAACTTGACAGATGCTGCACCAGGACACGCGGTGGAGACAGAGAATACTTCTTGTTGCATGTTTTGTATATTTCAGATGAGAGCTCCTCCGACAGACTGTATGATGGGAATTCAGCGCAGTTCATTGTTTGTTTTGGCACACAATTTTTTTTCATAAGCCGCTGTGGTGGGGCATGAATCTCATAGCTCGAGCAGGGCCGTGAGGCGCGCGTCTCCATGGAGATGTGTGGGGACTCACAGGACCTCTGCAGGGACAGAACAACAGAGGCGAGAAGGAAACTTTAAATGCGACACAGCCTGTCTAACCTTGATAGAATTCAGAGGGACGACTTTCTCGTCGCACACTCCAAGAAAGACTGACGAGCTTGACTTTATTTGATCTACAGACAGTGATTCCCAACTTTGGGTTCAGGACCCTCAAAGCGGTCCCTAAGATTAATATGAGGGGCCACATGTGTCACAGGTTGTTTAGTGACACAAAACATATTTGTATTCTCTCATGTGTGCCATTGATTTATCTTGTGAAATATTGAATATGTTCATCTGTTTAGGCTGGATGAACTCAAAAGTCCTTCAAACTTCATTCAGGCTTATCATTTTAAGGAACACTGATGTAGGATTGGACATTAAGATTGGATGTGGACAGAAATATTCCATAAGACGAAAGTATTTTATGGACCTCAGGATTCATTGATTCCAGAGAAATTTGAATATTTAACCTCCTTTATGTCCACAAAGTTGGAAGTTTGAAGTCTGGACCCCCCCTCACCAAGCATACAGTAATCTTAATGCACCGTTTAATGTATGTAAGACTCTGCTGTATGATCACAATCTCATCCCGGGTGTCCTCACTGTACCTGCGACATGCTGAGGCTTCATAGGGCCTGTTTTCATCAGGAAGGGCTCTCCGCCCTCGAACGCCAGGATGGGCTCGCCCACCAGCCCGCTCTGAGGCTGCGGCGGGTTTCCGCCGCTGTTCAGCTGGATGATCCCCCCGAAGTCGGCCGCCTCTCCGTTGGCCGAGACGCCATTCTGGTGAGCGGCGGGCTGGACGCCGTTTGCGACAGGACCGGACACAGTTGCGCCGGGACTCTGCAGGTTTCCAGCTGCTGCAGAGATATAATATTAATGAGCAGATAAATAAAATGAGGTATTGAGTCCTATATGGCATAGCGACTGTGACACTCACCCTTACTGAGCTCCGTGTCCTTGCCGTTGACCTGCGGAGAAGCTTTGACATCCTTCTGAGATGACAGAGAACAAAAAGACTTTTGTTATTTCAAAAAGTCACAGAGGAAGTTCAGATTTCACGCTCATTTAAAGGGGATCACACGAACCTTTTCTCCTGCGTCGCTCTTCCGAGTCCTCTTCATGATCTCCTCAAGGCGCTGTGCAGATCAGACAGAGAGATCAGTTAGTTAGATGTGTTCTTTTTCCGAGGGAGGGAGTCCTGGGATGAACTCCAGTGTGAATTCTCTGAACTGCGAAGTTGTTGTTTTTCCTCCTCACCTTCTTCCTCTCCAGCCGCTCCTGCTCCTCTTTCTGGAAGTGTTTCTCCCTCTCCAGGCGCTGACGCTCGGCCTCCTCGCGAGCTTTGGCATCAGCCTCCTCCCTCTGAAATAAAGAAGACGACAAAAACATGAACGTGAAGCTGACGAAAGTAACACTTTCAGACTAAATACAAAAGATCTATTAGCTAATAAAAAAAAGTCCCACGTGCAGCTACAAAAACACAAGAAGCAGCAGGATGTTAGTCATATTGAATTGACACCACTTTATGTAAATGTTCTGTGACACGTCAGATGCTCTGGTGTTGATTCCCGCAGAGAATCACAGCTGAATATGTAAATGACATGCTCAATGTTCCCAAAAGCAACCAAAACTGCATTTTTATAGAATTAATTTCATTTTTATTTCTGTGGTTTGTGGTTAGAGATGTTAATAGAGCATCAATGTCCCTCCATGTCAGTGTGGACCACAGTTCCACTGTGTTCGTTGTCGTGTATTTTCATGTTTTTCTTGTGAGACATGAACAAGTACAGATTGTGCAAACACATTTTCCCTCCAGGGACAATGAAGTCTATCTATCTATATAATAGAAATGCATGTGTAAATGAGTCCTTTCCATAATGTTGTCAGACACCTACAATAACAATCTGAGCCGGTCAGTGGCAAAAAGAAGTGGCCGTACATTGACAATACTGGACTAAATACCAAAGTTACCCTTTAAGTAAAGGATCTGAATATGCTTTAAAACACCACTGGTGATCACATCGTGTGCGTGTGTTTGTGTGTGTGTGTGTGTGTGTGTACTGTCACGTAGAACAACTCCTGACCACCGGGGGGCAGCACATGCTCAGTCTGTTCTGCAGCCTTCAGGCCAGAGTTGGTGTTATATGAGCAAATCCATTACTTGCTTCACTGGGTATTTAGATTCAGCACCAAACAAACAGATGTATTGAAGTCAGCAATGAAAACAAAGAGTTATGATGTGTGCATAAATCACATCTGTCAACTTTTAAAACCGTTTTTAAAATGTGCCATTTTCACACCCTTTAACTGATGACTGACTTTTGACCGCAGCAATTGAGCTGTGGACACAAATCTTAAATAGTCACGCACATTTTTTCGATTCCGTTTGAGAGAGAGAGAGCTCTTAAAAGATACGAGGCCACTCTGGTCTGGAGCTGTCAGGGTGGAACAATGGTCCGATTGAAGGCGAAGGAGTGGAGCGGGGCCGAGTCTCTGCTTATCCGACTATCAGCCCACTGCAGAGCCAAGTGTACGAAACGGGGGCAACACAGGCCTGTCACTATCTCCCTGATCACAATGGCTCCCCTCAGCCTGCGCTCATCACCATTATGGAGGTCACCAGCTGGTATCTGCCCGGGCCAGACTAGGGGTCTCTGACTAACTGGGCACACGAATCGTCCGTGACAGCAGCACATATTCTCCTCCTTTAATCTGCCCAGATGCCAGACAGCGAGTCAGTCAGTCAGTCAGTCAGGGGGTGATGCACGATGTTTGGGCTCACGTACAGTATCAACCCCCCCCCCCTCCCCCCGACAGCTCAGGCATCCTCATATGCATTAATCTGCCCAGATGGTAAATGGGTTTAGTGTATGCGGGGGATCAAAGGGATTCATGTTGGTCAATGGAAAATTAGAGGGGTTTCAGTGCATTCAGTATTTACAGTAAACCTGAACCCATCATTTGTCTCAGTGATGAAGTCTCAGGCCTGGTTAGCTTGGGTTGAGGGTTTGATTCCCACAAGATACCACAAAGTTGGCTCAAGGAAACTGAAGAATAGAGGATTTTAAAGTAATCTTTCACTGAAGTCATTGGGTTCTGAGGCGTTCTGTGTATTCACGATCTTATCTCGTCAAACATGGTGAACTTTTTAGCAAGTTGTTGCTTTTTTACACATCCAGCTGTTAAAGATTTTTAAATTGGAATTTTTTAAATAGTGGATTACAGGTGGGCTAAGCGCAGGTTTATATTTGTTGTTATTCTCTCCACATGTGATGCTGTGAAGCAACGTGGGATCATGGGAGTTGTTGTCTTCATTGCGGTCAGCTTCTCCCGGTTAGGATTCCTTCAGCGTTCATTGTTCAGGAGGTTTGTATTGTATTCGCAGAGGTCTCCTCTCCAAAACAAATCAATCAGGTGATTAAAACCAGTAAAACAAACACAGGATGAAGTAGTTTTATGTTAAAAATCTGTGTTTCTCCGACGCTGTTTGGTGGACACAGGACGTCCCGGCGGGGCTGCAAGCCGCACTGCTAACGCTTGCTCAGGTTGTTTCTCTGATAACTTAAGATCCAGACGTCCGATGACTAAAATTCTTCCTCTGGTTAAAGTATATAGTTTAAAAGTACCAAGATCTAAAAAATGTATTGTAAAAATGTGACTTAAAACTGTATAAAAAGTGACATTTTCTGTCAGACAACCCCATTGCTGGAGGGTATGACGCAATTGACATGGGACCAAATTAAAATGATCACTACCTTGAATAAAATTACGGATATCTCTCGGTTTGAAAATTGTTGGAAACATTTGGGATAATGTAAGTGCACAACTCAACTAAATATATGACATAGGTCTAGTCGTTTTCAGACATTTTTGAGCGGAAAAGTTACATATTATACCTTTAAATGCAGGTACAGGTACATGTTTTATTATTATTTAGGCCAAGTAAGAAGGCAGTTTTTAGTGCACATGGGTACAAATCAGATCAGGAATAACATGCTTGTAAGATGTAGAGAAGTCTGCAGTATGCTCTCTGGTCACTGACCTGTTTCTGTAGCTTCTCGTTCTCCTCCTGCTCGGCCACGGCTCTCTCCTGCGCCTCTTTCACCTCCTGAGCTTGCTGGGCTTCGTCCCTGATACACTGCTGCTCAGCCATGAATCGGGCCTCCTCCTCCCTGCGCTTCCTCTCCTCTGCATCCCGGACCATCGCCTCCTCCCGGAGGATCCTGAGAAGACGTGTCCGTGTTACATATACAGCGTGCACATGTTATGTATCCGGACAAAGATCAGCTGTCTGCAGGCTTATAAACCCTCAGTTTCTCCCATATTTCTCAGAAGTCATTCTTCAGAACCTGAGGCTAAGACAAGCGTACAGTCATCCCATGGTGTGACACATACAGTCGCACGCCTGAGGCCACTAAACTGATTAAAAACATCAAAAATGTCTTTGAACTTTTAAGCAAAAATATGTTGCTTTCATTTATTTATTTTTGTATCTAATAATTTAGTAGGAGCGATGTGATTTGGTGATAAATACAGTAATTATACAAGTATATTCATAGGTACTAAAATAAAGACAGTGTTCAAATGGTACAACAACTTCTTTTTAACTTTTCTTTAGCAGCAGGTCGGCTGAACATTAAAAAATGGATCACAAAGTTTCAAAGTAATGAGTGGTGAGCATTCATTTTAGTTGTTTATTTATTTATTTGGGTTCAAATGGAGCAATTATTTAATGGAAGTTAGCTTTTTTTCCCCTGCAATCGGTGCAAGGTAACTACTTACCTCACAATGTGACACAATGCAATGCAAGTTTAGAAGGTGTTTTTTTTTGTATTGCAATACTGTTGTGTGAATTACATCATGGAAGGTGTAATTTTGAACGTTCTGTCTCAAGATAACATTTCATTTCATAAACCCTCAAAGTCAGAATGTAACTGACCTGTTCCTGTGCTCCTGCTCCAGACGCTCCTGCTCCTCTCTCTCCCGCTGCTCCCGGGCTTGCCTGCGTTTCTCCGCCAGGATGCGAGCAGCCTCCTCCGGGTTGTTGGTGCCTGCCGACGGCCTGCTGGCCGGTGCGGCGGAGCCGGTGGCGGAGGCAGCAGCTGCAGCGGCGACGGGTGCAACAGAAGGAGCAGGCTTACGGGTGGCGGCTGCAGCCGGCTCTACGTTTGGAGCAGCTGGAGTTGCCTCGGATGCAACCGCCGGGCTGAGGGAAGGAGGTGTAACCGGTGCAGTGGACACCACGATGGCAGGAGGACTACTGGAGTCTATGAGAGGGAGGACGAAGAGAGGGCAGGTGATTATGTTTCTAAAAACACAATAGTAAGAAAGCAAACATCTGTTTATAAATCATCTGAAGAATAAGATGACGGGAAAGTCGCTAGAAACCGCCAGATGATACTTTTTTTAACTATTCATTACGTAGCTTTGATTCAACATAGAATTTTAATTTTAAATAAAATAAAATGAAATGTATAAAAAGAGAGAAAAGAAAAGAGAGGCCCTGCCCGTCATGACGCACTGACAGTTTGGTAAATCCTGTGGAGAGTTTTTCCACAGTGGAAACTTCTTGCTGTCTGCTGCGTGCAGACAGCAAGAAGTGAAATATGAGAGAAATATGAATACAGCAGCTCATATATTTTGGCAGGAAGAACAGATGACTTTTCAAGATCCTACAGTCATGTCAAGTTTTACATGACGTCACAATAATTCATACAGTAACCATCAATACCACCGTGGTGCCATTAAAACAATGAAAATGTGGTTTCATTTTTGTCATGCTGTATTTTTATTTTCTGTTTTTTTTTTTTTTAATTCTGTTCGATTTCACTGTTTTATATGGAAAAAAATAATTGCTCAATATCAGGGAACGGAATAGTTACCTGCTTAATCTATATACTGTGACATAAACGTGATCCTGCTAATAATCCAGAAATAAATTGGGACTTGTAATAATAAGAAAACACAGTTTTTGTTTCTGGGAACTATGAAGTTCAACCTGGACGATGTTGATGATCACGACCGCACGTCTGCCTGTACTGTAACTTAAAAAGTGACGCTCCAGGTGATGCCTGCAGATATTCCCCATGTTATCCTGCTTTTTGGATGGATACACTGGGGGAGGACTGGTGTGAGTTAATAGCATAGAGAGAAGTGTTAATTGATCTGTCGATGATTAATTAAAAAAGTGAAAAGCGTAATTGTGGCTTCATCACTCCAGTTACAGAGCAGTCAGTAAAGGCCAGAGCTGGTAAAAATCTCTCACTCTGCAGTGATCACACGAATGTCGGTCAAAAACCTCGAGGTCACCTTGAAGCCTGGATATGGTCTCCGTGGCAACCACACTTACTCTTTTTCTCCTCTGGAGCGCCGGGATGCTGGGGTTCGTGGCGCGTTTCCATGGCGGCCGCGCCGACCGTCTGGGGCTGCACCCTGGCGGGCGTCTGGGCTCGTTTGGGTCGGGTCTTGGTGCCAGGGGGAGGAGTCTTCTTGCACGTCGGGGTCTTGGAGGCCACTGCCGGCACCAGGGGTGACAGGGGCCGACTTTTGGGGGCGGTGGGTGACGGAGGTCTGTTTTTGGGCTTCGGGGTGCTGATGAGAAGAGAGGAGGTGGAGAAGGAGGTGAAACATTAGTCAAAGAGAGAGCTGGCGGCATAGACGATCAGGTTTCATGGCAGTGTAGCGAAAGGTAATGAGGTTGCCAGTGCACTAGATAAAGCTCATAACTAGGTCATGTGGAAGATATGAGTGACTCCATCTGAAACTCCACGATTCTTTGGCTGCAGGGGAGTGTAACCTGAGAGGAAGGGAGGCAGGGAGACGTCTTTTTTCCCCTGTGCATCGGTCTGACACTAACAGACCTGCTGTTGGCTGACTGAACGGAGTCCAGCAGAGTCCCTTTCAGTAGTTAGATTATAGCACCTTGGACCATCTGTGAGACATTAACCTGCTCCGAGGATAAAACACCAGAACACATGAGCTCCCTCTCTCTCTCAGCCTCTCTCCTGCTTTAACTAAGTCCACAGTATAGCAAACATTTTCAAGTTAAATTATGGGATCCATTGGTCTTCAGAGCTGGCAGCTTGTATGATACCTGATCTCCGGCCTGGATCTCTGGGTCGTGGTGGTAAGTGATGTCGTCTGTCTCTTCTTCGGCACTTTGTCTTTCGTGAGCAAGTTCTTCTCTTTCTCATTCTCCCTCTCCTTGTCTTTCTTCTCTTTCTTCTTTTTGTCCGCCTTGAAGGAAGACGTGACACAATTAAGCAGTCGTCACCTCAGGCCGAGGCGGATATATACACTGTGTATGAGACGAAGGCCTTTTGTTAAATGTCAGTATGTTATAGAGGCTCCTTCAAAAACAACATTTAAGACTGGCAGCTTATTTCCATTGCACGTGCTATTTAATAAACGAATGGTGAAGTTAATTTAAATCTGCCTTTTTTTTCTCCACATGGTGGCAGTCTGACAAGCCCTTAAACCTTCATTGACATATTACCATCTAAAGATGGTGAACGTGTTACTGCAGCAAGCAGAGGGACATTCTCATTCTCATTTTTTGAATTGTATTTGTGTCCACGTATGTAAGTCTGTTTTTGGTCTCCACCACCTCCTGAGGGAAATATTTGTCTCTTTAGTTGCTAAATGCTCAACTGTGTTCGCCAGCTAGTCTCTACCGGTGTCTCTCTGCTGTTTGGTGCTAGTGTACAGTGTCTTTTTAAAGATTTGCTTCTCTGTAAACGGCTCCCATGAAAGCGGTGAGAGTGAACCGAAACAGTGAAGTTGTGAAAAAACCAAAACAATGAGCTGAAAGATGCTAAAATGTTGGGTGATAATTCTCTGTGCGTTTGTCACTCCGAGCGACACCTTTCACATTAAACTCATATGACCCATTGTTTATGTAAAGCATTGATTACATTCATTTAGGTTTCTATGTCCGTCTAAACACTATTTCACTATCATGATTTAACTATAAAATGTTAAATTTGTCCTAACTGTCTGTTTTTGGGGGCCTGAAAGATCCAAACATGATGTACATGAGAGGTCAACATGTTTGCCTACCGGTGTGGAGTTTCGCCAGCGTTGCCGCTGGGTGATGTCCGGCGTGCTGGCGGAGGAGAGCCTCCAGCGCTCGGCGTTCTGGTGCGGGTGGTGATGGGAGCTGGTGTTCAGCGGGCTGGCGGAGACTGAACGGGAGCAGTGGTGAGAGTCTGAGTAACACATGAACATGCAGAGAGCGGCAGCGGGGCCCGATTGTCAGGGGCCCCACACACTCACACATACAAACAGTCATACACCATGCAGAGGGATAATAAAAAGCCTCTCAGTGAGGACACACCAGGCTATGAGACAATGACTGATTATTTATTGTTAGCCTTTTGTAGCTTTATTCTTTATTCTGAATATCTTTACGTTTTGGACTCTTGCTTTTTCACCATGTTTTAACCTTTTTAGCCAAAACAATGAATCGATTAATCCAGCAAATAAGTGACAGATTAACTGATATCGATGATAATCGTCAATACCAGCTTTATCTTCAAACAAACCAAATATCACCACAGGGTGTTATGTACACATATTCAAATTCATATAGATAATGAGAGACAGAGTAAGAGAGAGGAGAGAGGACAAAGACTGAAACAAGTCATCCACAAAGCAAAAATGCCAAAGAGGGAGCGGAGAAGCTTCTACAATGTGAAACTTTGCTTGGGATTGTTGAATTTACAAGCAATTTCAAGGTGGGATCTGAAAAACTGTGGTGGGCATTTCTCGGATTTTCTTACATTCAAGTATAAATACCACTGCGAGTTCATTTTAACAGTTTTTCCTAAACATTTTAAGGACTTCAAAGTCCAGAGAAGTGCTCGGAAAGAAAGTAATAATTTCAAGATTTCATGATAACTATACAAATGGCTGCTGATGAAGGTCATGTGATGTGATGGAACGCTCCAGAACAGCTACTACATGGACCTCGTGGTGTTTTTCAGCCGAGCCAAATGTACTCACAGATAAAGACAGAAATTGCAGGATAGAGAGGGGGGGTAAAAGGAAAAGCGAGAAGAGTGATGAAAGATTTAGATCTGAATGTTTTGGGTCAAACTAACTTTTCCTTTACATAAAACGTCCTAGAACAGAGCAGCATTCCTTCCTCCCTGCACACTCCAGTGATGTGCAGAACGAAAAAACAGGAGGGCGGGTACATTGAGTAGAAACATCCAGATGTGGTCTCACACTCACAGGAGTCGCTGTTGTTGAGGAGGGTGGCGGCGCTGCGACTGCGGGCCAGGAAGGACAGCGTCGGCGTCATGAGCCGCTCCACGATCCGGCTCTCCCAGGGGCTCAGACGCAGGCTGCGGGCTGACATAAGAGGACGCCGTCAGTGTCGGGTTACTGTCGGAGCTGCACCACATAGGTACTCACCACTAAAACACATCTCTGGCATACTGCCGCAGGGGTGAACACAACCTTGACGTGTGGCGCTCCTCATTGATGACACTGCAGCACATCCTCTCTTCACACAGACACACACACACACACACACTGAACACACTGTCTCCATCTGAGGCAGAGGGAAGTTTCACTGCTGCTGGAAGTTGATAAGTCTGAGGAAATGTTACCAGGTTATGACAAAAGCATCAAATTTAATCTTTGACAGTGGACACTTGTATTACTTATGTTTATCTAGCCAAACAAACCCTCATCACTTAAAAAAAAAAAGGCGAGAAACTGCACGTGTCTTCTGGGTTTTGATTTTTATTTTTTTGTCAAAATTGATTAAAAAGCCGAATTGCTTGGATTCAGACATAAGGAGGTGGAGCCAAGCATTAAAAATTGTTTTTTAGAAGTGAACCAAGTTGCAAACTTGAGTCAGAAAAAAAAAAGCTAGGACATTATTTGTTTCTATTTATATGAAGGTCGGCAGAAAACTATCTATCTTACATACAGGAGTAATGTACTTGCCAGAGGCTAGCAGGCCTCGCTTGACCATTAAATGTTGGTTATTACATTTAGGAAAAGTGGTTTAGGTTCCAATAAGAGCGTTTGTCACGTTACGTAAGTAAGTAAAGAATTTTACGCACAACTCAAACTCCAGTCTGCCAATCAGAGACTCTCAGACTCAAAGATAAGATGAATGACTGAACGTTGGCCCTCACATCACACACAGTACCAGACATCAGATAACAACACACAGCGGAACAAACCCAAGTTAATTTCATTACTTACCACTCAAAATCACAATCACGTAAAAGCCTCGACCCCAATCAAACCCAATGCACTGCAAAGTCAGTTTCTGACTGTGAGTTCAGCATTAGCACAACACACACTGCTCTGACTTTAACACCATCATGGTGTAATAGTGTTTATCTAACTTTTAGAGAGTGTCATGTGATGTAAATTTATAGTCAAATGTGTTGTAATGACGGGTGGAAACACACAGACCAATAAATCATTCTCTCATGAGTAAAGCAAACTTAATGTCAGAGAATCAAGTTGCTTTTAGTCGGAGGTTGGCACCATCTTTGATTCCGGCAGAATCAAATCACTCTTGTTAGAAACCTGAGATGCCTGTGTGTGAATTTTATAAAGCGCAAATGCTAGAAAACCCCCAAAAGGGAGCAGATGGAGAAAGAGACGATGAATGACGCAGAGTGAGAGATCAGATTTAGAGACTCTTCACACAGAATATCAGGAAGACGATGCTCAAACTCCTTCAGCAGAAACTGAAATAAAGAAACAAACGTTTGAAGCACTTTCCCTCGAATAATTTAAACTTAGAACCTGCAGACAGTACAGGGAAGTAGTACATTTGTAGTACTGTTTTGAGTTTGAGGTACTTTGCTCTAGTATTTATCATTTAAATCTACTTTGTACTTGATTTATTCTTATTTTATTTCTTTAAAAGCTTTAGTTACTAGTTGTGTTGCTGATTAAGAATTAACATGCTAAACATATGTTTCTAAAATAAGATCCATTTTAGTTTAAATGAGTGATAATATTCTAATAGCATAATAACACTGACAGCTGTAATTAGGCTGCACAAGTATTTTTTACTTTTTATACTTATGTACATATTGAAATGATACAAAGGTCTTTTACTTGAGAGTATTTTACTTATATAGAAGCTCCACGATATATATAATTTGACTTTTTGGGAAATTCCCTCATTTGCTTTCTTGCCAAGAGTTAGATAAGAATGTAAATTAAATTTGTCATATCGCTACTGTAAATATTAAGCTACAACTAGCAAGCTAGTGTTTATGCTAAGCTAAGCCTAGCTTAGCATAAACACTGGACACAGTCTCCAGGAATTTGCTGCTGGGAAACAACAACTTGTCCTTTTAACGCTTCTCTTTTATGCACATTAAACAAACGATTAACGTGTTAATTGGTGAGCTTTAGAGGTGTTGGAGGACAGATTTGGTTACGTTTTTGACAAAGCAAGGCTAGCTGTTTCCCTCTGTTTCCAGTCTTTATGCTAAGCTAAGCTAACTGGTTGCTGCGTGTACAAACATGAGAGCGGTATCAATCCTCTCCCCAACATGTTGAACTATTCCTTTAAGTAAAAGTTCTTCTTTTTCCACCACCGCTCGGTAACGTGACAATAGTAAGTGTTACGTTTGATCCTGAGTAAACAGCCTGTAGGTTTTGTTCTCTTTAACTGTCCTGCTCCTTTAAAACAGTGCAGAAACAACAGAAAACACGCGAGTGCGCATGAGACAACAACATAGAGGTGGACACAGAATGCACTGCCTCAACATGAGAGCTGATGCATGACAACAGATAGTCCAGATTTCCCTGTCTCTTGTGACAAAAGCAGACAACATGCTGTGCAAAGATGTATTTTTAGTGACAACTTGAACCATGTGTACTGCTTCTTCTCAACGCTCTATTGTGGCGTAGCACTCTGTTGGTATGCATGACACCTACAAACACGTACCACAGAAAACATGAGAGTAAGTAGTGCAATCACAACAGCGCGAGTTTTGTCATTTTTACGCGCTTTACATGAACATGTCGCAGACTGGCCCTTCTTATGCAACAGTCACCTCTGCTGCACGTTGGACGGATCATTTCCACAACATGTTTTATTACTGACTGATAACTCGACTACCTCCCGTTGCTAGGCAACAGTGGTTTCCCCCTCCTCCCCCACGTCTTCCTCCAATGCGGCAAGAGGAGGCTGAGCTGTGTTGCTGTCTGGTGATCGACTGTTCACCTGCAGGTAGATTGATGCCCCCCCCCCCCTCAATATTACTGGTACTCTGTTGCAGAGCACCTCTAAAGGCCAGAAACACGAGCTACAATATCGACTTAAATTGTGATTCAGCTTCAAATTGTCCTTTCATCTTCCCACAGTATCGGAGCATCCGTGTTATTAGTGATTTATCAAGCATGGAAATCTGAATCTGCGAGAGCCGAACTGCTGATTGCACTGTGGGGGATACGATCGGTAATGACACACGTTATGAGACGTGACGAATCTGTGATGAAGACAGTGCTGCTTGTGTACATGTGGCAACTCGGGAATCTGATACAATGAGTTTAACGTAACAAGACAATTTAAATATTTATCATAGCACGACAGAGCGTTGCGGCCGCCATGACAACAAAAAAACATCCGCTCAGTTTCTTGGTATAATGTGAGAAGGTTTTTGTTTTGACGAAATCCTTTTTGTGAAATAACAAGATATTTTTCATGTTGTTTTGACATATTTTTTTCGTCTTTAGCACACATAGTAGGCTTGCGAGGGCAGATGGTTTGTTAAGTTAAATATGTAAGTCTTCGCAGCTCGACTCATTGATCCTTTATCTGACTGAGGTTTGCACAAGTTAGAATCTTTGTCGCCAATCACGGCACTGAAAGATCAGCAGCCTCCACAGACCACTCTAGAAAACGCTTGTGATTCCACCAGACGCGCCGCATTGTGTTTCAGAAGTGGCTCTCAGTGTGCCGTGTATTGATAAATCCATGGCGCTGTCCGTGGTGCTGAAGCAGCAGACGGATTTGTAATTGGGACTTTCGACTTTCCGTCCCACCTGTTAAAAATGTTGCCTACTGAGTACATACCACATTTTTCTGGTCTTACAAGACATTTCACTTTATCTTATATACCGTATCTTATTTATTATATCTTACATATATACATAACCTGTTAAAATAACATATGTTTACGTTACGTTTTTAGCCAGGCTTTTAGCAGCACGGCTCTATGGATGGTCATGTAGATTCGTCGGTCAATTGTCATGAAATGTTGTAAAAACCTTCAGGTTCCCCAGAGGATGAATCCTAATGACTTTGGTTGATCCTCTACCTCTAGCGCCACCTTGAGGTTAACATTCGCCTTTTTGAATAAATGTCTCAAAATTGGATAGTTTGTTAAGTACTTTGGTTTATAACTGAAAGCAAGACTGTGCAACTTTTGAAAGAAGCAATGATACAATTTTTCTCTTACAAATAAAATGATTAATTCATACGTGATAAAACGCATCACATTATCCTGTAACTATGTGGCGTGTGACCACAGTGACCACTGGTGTTCAGCAATAGTTACAGCGTCTCGGCTAAAGTTAGCTTGTTAACACAATAAACTAAGATGGTGAACATCATACCGACCTAAAATCAACATGTTAGCATAGTTAGAGTCTTTTAGCATGCTGACGTTAGCATTTAGCACAAAGCACCGCCATGTCAAAGTAGCCGTTAGCATGGCTGTACACACTTTAACTTGCTTGTCATAACAACATGCCAACTTATTCTGTTATGATGATAAACCTCATTTTAACCATTTGTTGCTTTTGTGTAATTACGGAAAGTTCATGATTCAACAAGTTTCTTGGAAAAGCAAAATTACTTTTGGAATTAAAAAAAAATGTGTAACATAAAAATGATCTTATTAAAGGATTGTGTTACAAAGAAACATTTCATATGACAAGAAACTGAGCAAATATGCTTTTGTCTTGGTGGCAGCAATGCGCTGCTGTAAATAACTACTGAAGCAAAAGAGGTTTAATCTCCATGGAAACAGGCTGTATGTCTACATAAAACCACCAAAATATAATACAATGCATGTGCATTTAGTTGCTCTTCTTTCATTTGCAACAGTCACACTATAATATCCACCACCAATACCACCACCACACCAAACTACCAACAGTAAAGTGGAGGGGGGCAACCAATAAAGACAAGATGTGAACTTAACAAAACCTATTAACAGAAACACATATCACAAAATATGGTGATGTCGTGGTGGAAGGGAGGCTGATCAAAAATGCAGAGGAGACTCAAATCAATGACAACCATCAACTGAAATCAAAAACCACGATGCATACGAGACCGAGAGCGTGACAAGCGAGGGGGGGAGTAGGTGGTAAATGACCAGTCACCAAGCACAGGCAGGCAGGCAGGCCACCAGAGACGACAGTTATAATAGTAAAAGAAGAAAACCAAAAAAAAACAGATTAGGGTAAGAGGAGTGGGGGGGAGGTCAGAGAGGGGGGTGAATAGGAAGGGAGAGGGAAGAGGAAGAGGCCTGGTGGACATTGACGCCGGGTCGTCCTTACTTCTGTTGGGGGAGTTCCAGAGCGTAGCAGAGGACTTGGACAGCCTGCTGTTAATGACAGGGTCCACCTGTCTTGGCAAGTTGACCGTGGAGGCCGAGCATCTGCCTGCACCGGAGAGAACGCAACAGACAACAACTGTTCACAAGGCGGCTGGGGTGCAGGCGGGCCCGGCTGAGGACTGATAAGAGATGGGGGGGCTGCCGACTCCCCTCGGTCTGGATCTGGAGGAGATCAGGGACTCACCATTCTCTGAGGTTCTCGTTAGCATTAAGGAAGAGATTAATCTGGACTCAGACTTGGAGGGGGGGAAATGGGGAGGAACTTTGAGGAAAGCGTGGAAAGGGTGTGGTAAAGTTAGAAATCACATAACTACTTTGCTTTTTATCCGCTGCAAGAAATCAGCATAACACACACACACACACGTTCACACACACATTCTTTCACACTCTGAAGGAGAGAAACTTGTCTTGACCTCAGTGTCACGGGTCCAAAAGAGGCCGCCCGTCACGTGTTTCGACAGTCTAAAAAAGGGAATAAGCTCACAGCTCTCTGAAAAACGCTGTTCACACTGCTGATCTAATGAAACACGTTCATGACAGCTACCTTGCTGCTCAGCTCTCCGCCTCTGCGATCACGTTTAAACTGGAACTCAAAACCCATTTCTGCCTCAAAGAAAACAGAGACATTCTACTGAGGAATTACAAAGGTTTAAGTTACTGAATAAGGCCATCTGCCACTGGTACCCCACCTTTTATGACCCTTCAGAACTTATTTCCTTGAATTGCATCAGTTGGACCAGTGAGTCACAGTCTGTGCAGCGTTGCTCAATGTGAAGGTTGGAGTTACAGTGAGGATGTGATATATTCTTTTCTTCGCGAGAGTTTCCATGGGATTGTGGTTTATTTGAAACTCACTTTCTCTGCGGGAGGTCTGGTTGAGTCCGCCCGCCCAGGACCACCTCTGCTGGCGGATCTCGGCCCACGTCTTCTTTGTCGACCTCTTGATTGCTGACTCATATCTCTCCTGGAGCGACCACGCAGTCAAAACAGAGTCACAAACACACACTCATAAGTTCGTTGGACAGTTTAAAGGAATAGTAAAGACATCTTGGGAAATACGCTGACTGGCTTTCTTGTGCTGAGCACTGTAAATGTGAAGCTACAGCCAGCAGCCAGTTAGCTTAGCATAAAGACTAGAAACAGGGGGAAACAGCTAGCCTGGCATTGCTCAAAGGTATCAAATTCCACCTACCAGCAACTTTAAAGCTTGCTAATTAACATATAATGTTTGTTTAATCTGTACAAAAACAACATGTTGTGGTTTTATGGGGTATCAATCTGGTCATTTAAGAGGAGGTGATTAGCTTAGTTTAGCTTGAACACCAGAAGCAGGGGAGAGTGCTTATCTGGCTTTGTCCAAAGTTTAAAAAATGTATTAGGACCTCTAAAGCTAAAGAGATAAATCATGTTAAATAATACGTTTTAGAGGAGGTAGGTGTATTTTTGAAGTTTGATAAGAGCCAGACTAAACTGCTGCTGCCTACTTCCACACTTAATGCTAAGCTAGGCTAATCTCTTGCTGGCTGTAGCTCCAGACATGAGATTGGTATTGATTTTCTCATTTAACTTTTGACAACAAAGAAAATAATTCCTTCAACAATTACTGAAATTTTACAATCTGCAGCTAGAAGGGAAAGTAACTGTTTGGTGGAAATGCTCCCGACTCTTAGGCATGAGCAACCTGTGACAAGGAGACACAGGAAGACTCTGTTTCAGTTTTAGAGGTCAAATAGAAGCCAAAAGGATTCGGAACCACTGCTGTGATCAATAACTGATAACTCCAAATACAGCCAATGAAAATTAACGAAAAATTTGTTGTAATCAGCCAACACTTGGCATCACAACTGATATTCAAGATGTGATCAAATCCCTGTTACACTGGCAATTTTCCAGTGGAAAAAAACTGTACTAAGCATCAGGCTTGCATAAACACTGGCATAGTGTTGACTTTTCCACCCTGACTTCAATTAAGAGGAACTATTTTGGAGAGGACACACTACTGTCTCAGGCTACAAAATAAATCTGTCTGCGTTATCGATGACACCCATATTAGCCCAGTGTTGATAATTAAAAACAAGCTTTGAAATTGCATTAATTGGTTAAACCATAATTTGTTCATGAACCCATGTTTGGATGGTTTGATTCTGATTTACTGTTATTATTATTCTCACCTTGTTTTTTTCTAGTTTCTGTCTCTGTTTTTCCTCCAGCAGAGCTCTGCGTTTCTCAGTCTTCAGCCTCTGCTCTTCTAGCTTCTTCCTGCGATCCTCCAACTGGCTCTCCCTCAGACGTCGGGCCTTCTCCTCCTTCTCCAGCCACTGGACCTTCTTCACTGCTACAGGGTCACCAGAGAGAGGGGTTAACATCCAGAAAGAAAAGCCGGAGAGACAGTAATACAAATTACACAAGAAAGTTCGAAAACAAAAGGTTGCTGAGAATCACATTTGTCTGAGATCTTTTAAAATCTGAGGTTATCTGAATAGGGTTTTCTATGAAAAGCCCGGCCAATTTCTTTTCCTACGATGATGATAAAATTATCCGAATAATAATAAACTTATTCTACATGGCACCTTTCTTAAACAATGTTTAGAAAGTGCTTTGCAGGATAACAAGACTAAGAGTCTACTCAAACCCGCAACCCTCATGGTGGTGCTGGAGGAAAATTTAGGAGAACACCTAACTCATTATGATTCATCCTCTGGGAACCATGAATATGTACTAACGTTTGGGCCAATCCATCTGGTAAATTTGGAGCAATTTAACTTGATAAATCAAAACTTAGCCACCAGAGAAGAGTCAGGGAACCACTTAAAGTAGGATTCATCCCCTGAAGACCATGAATATCTGAAACAAATTTCATGGCGATCAATTTAATCGTTGTCGAGACATTTCACTTAAACCCACAAACCTCATGGTGGCGCTGCAGGAAAATTTAGGACAACACCGGTCATTAGGATTCATCCTCTGAGTACCATGAATGTGTGTCATAAAATAAATCAAATATTGTGGCAATTCATCTGGTAAATTAGCCTTCAGAGAAGTGACAGGGAAGCACTAAAATCATGGGAATTATCATTAACCAAAATTGATGGCAATTCATTTAATAGTTTTCAAAATAAGTCATTGTCACTTGAGACACGCTGCTACAGTGGCTAAAACATAAACAGTATTAAAAGGGACAATGAGGAGATGCTATAAGCTAATCTGTGTGAAATATAATTATTCAACAGGGATTTACAGAAACCTTCTTACGTAGGTTATTCCAAAGTGGATTCTTTAACTCCGACAGTGGTAATAGCTTAAACTCTTGATACTCAAACACAATGGGTGAAGCAGATGGAAGACACTGTGTTCATTACACTATGATCCTGATAACAGTAAATAAGCAGAGGTGTCCCGCTGTGTTATACAGCACCCTCGAGCAGACGCCTGTTTCTCTTTGCACATTCGCTGCTGTGGCTCATTTCTTGGTGGAACAATTAAGCAGCAATCAATCCTCCTAAATTAAACCTTCTGTATGCTGGACAGCTGCTGGCTCTCTTATATCTTTATATCTTTCTTATCAGATGATATATGATATATATCATATATATATCATATCGTGAAGAGTTTAAACAATGGATGATGACAATGAGGGTGGGTTACATGCTGCATCCAACCAAAGTAATGGCATGACATGTTTCAATATTATCTCGTATTGCTGGGAGTTAGACGGCATTAGAAATACATTTTAGTGGATTAAGCTCTGCGAGGATGCAGCAGTGTTGTGAGGCAAACACATGTTTTGTATTTAGTTCAGAATTCTGCAGCTCATCTTAACTAATGAGTCACACAAGTCTGAGCATTTCTACAATGAAAAAGCATTTTCACTCCTCCATAAATCCAATTCCTGAAAACAAATTTAATTTATGTCTGCACTCTGTGCAGCAGGATTGACAAAGATATGTCGGTATAATGTCTGAGTTTGCACACAGTATTAAGTGCACCATTGCTATTACATAACAATGCTCAGTTCTTCACAATATCTTCAGATAGATTTGTTGCAAATGTAAAGTAAACATCATGTTTTGTGACCCACATGCCATTGTGCGCACATGGTTCTGAACAAATTGCATGCTCCACATGAAAAAAAGCTTGTACCATATAATTACAGAAAAAAGCAGACTGCAGGAAACTTATCTCGGAGCAGCTGAAGCCAAGTGAACCTCAGATTTTATTGATAAAAAGGCAGCAGAACTCTGCTTTAACTGTGCTGCGGCATGACCACATTATTGATGCTGATGAAAGTAGTAATTAAATCTAATCTGTCTGAGAGGCCTGGTCTCAGTTTATGGTAATGACTGCTCATTTTTCATGCCCGGGGCTCCGAGGGACGTCTCTGCAGGGAAACGCCCACCGAGCTCTGCTCTGATTGGCTGCCTTCATCCACACGGAGAAGACCCTGTTTGAATAGTAGATTTTGTCTTAAATGTTTTGGGGCTAGAGCAATGTTTTCATAAGAGAAACGTTTCATTCTGCAGCCACAAAGTACAACCATGACTTTAGGTGTGGGACATGCCAAAATAAAAAGTTAATTTAAACAAAACATGAGCAGAAACATTCAAACATTCAACGTTTAAGACTTTCCAACGAGACAGACAACCCAAATAAAAAGCACAAGCGGTTCATGGAGGAAAGAATAAAGGGCGCGACTATGATTCCCATCACAAGTTTGATTATTCCCAAATGGCATGACGGCTGCGGACGCCGAGGGTTTTTTGTGAAGCCCCTTACCTTGCAGCTGAGTTTGCTGTTCTGAAAGCCGTGCGAGGAGAAACAGTAAGAGACGACAATAACCGTCAGTCATGTCAGAGGAGAGTGACAGAGGAAAGAGGAATGTTAACACTACGTCAAGAATAGAAGATATGCATGCATCAAGTTGGTTACAACAAATTCCAGCTTCATGCATCACCAGCAGAGTTCTTTTTGGGAAAATCCAATTGATTCAAAGTTAAGAAAAAGCATATATAAACATATTTGATTGTTTTATCATTTCTTACCGATATATCTGGCTCTCTCCTCCCTCCGCTCCTTGGCAAGTTTCTGTCGTTGCTCTGAGCTCACCAAATCTGCGGGGAAAAAGAAAATATAAAGCTTTCAGTTGAATCTTTCATCACAAGAGAAACAAGCTGCAAGTTTTGCGGTTGCTTATTTAGACATTGAGCAGTTAAAGCTAGGGTTGGTAATCTTCTTCAGAAACATGTTTTGTTATATTTGTTGAAATTTTCTTTACATCCTGACAGCAATCAGTAAGTCTGGTGTCTGTGGCTCTCGCAGCCAGGACTGTAACATGCGACAACCTCCCATTTCGAGTCAAATAGACCATTAGGTAGGGTATACTTTAGGGTGTGGCTACCTTATGATTGATAGGCTGCCAACACGGCGTTGTCCGGTCTGGGCGTTGTCTGTGTTTTTTGTCTTAGAACTTTAACCCTTTCACAGTGTGTGTTTATGAAAACTTGGGAGCTTTGTGGTTGCCTAAAAATGTCAAATTCAGCTCTCAGTTGTACTTAGCTCCACCCTCTTGTGTCACTTATGGTTGCAAAAAAACAAGATGGCGACGGCCAAACTCAAGGCTTCAAAATCGTAGTCTGCAAACCAATATAGGTGACTACGTGCTAACAGTGATAACAATAGCCAAATTTGATCATTTTTTAATATCTAGCTTACTCTTGTTGGTTTCTCTTCATTTCCAACCCTCGCTTTAGGAGTAACAATATCATTCATTTGGAGTCTGGTTTGTCCACCTGATGAATGTATGAGTCTAATATTAACTCTCCTTTCAGCTCTGTTTTTGGTTTCCACCAACTCCTGAGGGAAATGTCGGTCTCCTTAGCTGCTAAATGCTCCACTATGTTCACCAGCTAGCTAACTGTGTCTCTCTGCTGTTTGGTGCTGAGCACGTATCACAAAAAAACAATACAACGCTCAGTAGAGCTGAGTAGAACTGCTTCAGACATGCTGAAGGAGCTTGGAGCAGAACCTCTGGTCATTTGCATCAAAGCGAGCCAGTTGACACGGCTCGAGCATCTGATTAGGATGCGCTCTTGAGGTTTTCCAGGAACGACTCCGACTGAACACGCTGAGGGGGATTACATATCCCATCTGGCCAGTGAATGTCTTGGGATGCCACAGGGAGTAGCTGGAGAAGAAGAGCGCCTGCCTGGGCCACAGATTTGTGGTGGTCACCGTATTGAAAATGAATTAAACTTCAAACAGAAATGCATCATTTCTGAAACAATATCCCCGTTATTTTGATTCATCCACAATCCTGCGAACAGTTGTTAGTGGAACTGAGACATAGTGTCATTGAAAGCAGCTGGCAGCATGTTCTGTGGATTATCCCGAGTAACAGGGACACTGTTTCCGTGCTGCTTCAGACATTTTCACGTGTCCTTTTTCAAAGCTGTGAGCACCAACAACAAGATTAGATTGCCTTCCATTATTTGCACGGATAGATTTCACACAGAAAATGATTCAGTTGTGTTTTTTTCCATCTATTTGTACACTGATGATGTGGAAACTTTTGCAGCTTAGCTGTGATGAAGAACTGCTTCTCGGCCGTTCTCATCTTCAGCGATAATCAGCGTGAATCCTGATACGCTTTAATAGACACAGCGGTGGAGCACGAGGATTTGTGCGTCCCTCAAAACAGTCTGTGAAAAGCCACGACTGAAGAGCCGTAACACACCGTTGAAAAACCAGGACCCCCGGGGTGCCCGTCTCCTTTTGTGGCTCTCCTCCGTGCTATGTAATATGTATGGCGCGCATCCTCAACTAATCACAGAGGGCCCTGCAGCACTTCAGCGCCGTCTCCATGGCAACCTGAATTTCCTCCCCACCTTTCACAGAGTTTCCTACGCGACTGCACACTTCAGTCCGACTGATGGCAGTACGCTATGGAGTGCGAAGAAAAACAAAATCTTATCGACGTGGAGGTCTCGTCCCCTTCCCTCCACCTCCACCATCAGTCTTCCTCCACAGTATACATCCCGTCTCCTCCATAGCAAATGGCGATTTGGCATTCAGCCACTACCATCTGTCTGGCAGGAATGACTCAATATACATTAAAACTTCCATTCGGGCAAACAGTATGCGAAAACTATGCATGAATGCTTTCAGGTTTTACATGTGATGGACTTTGTCTTTGAAGGTCAGAAATGAAACATGGAGGATAACAAAACACCGCACAGTTTCATACTTTTAATGCCTTTTAAAGTGTTTTTTTCTTCATCATTGTGGGAGCCACTGCAGCGGTTCATGTGGAGCAACTGAGCGATTGACACGGAGCAGGTTCTGATGAAGAGGAAAACAAATGGGCCGACCAGCCCGACACAGTCTCATGGCCAGCAGCGGCGGGTGAAAAGGCTGACTCAGACATTTTACAACTAGTACTGTGAAAAAAATGGTAAAAATGGCAGCATTTTTTTCCTGCTTCCAATTTCCAACAGTTGTAATTGTAGCTATTGTTTATTTGCCATTACAGCAACAACTATGACCTTGCATTGCGTCAATCAAATGAGCACCGTCGTCTCCCTGCTGCCTCTCTCTGCCTTAATTACCGTTTTGTGCCAGCATCCTATCTGATCCCAGCTATCTGCCTGATGCCTGCAAATTAAGCACACAGCTGCCAGTTCTGTACAATACGGCAGCTTCTCTCATGTGTTATCTCATGTGTTATGTGGCAAAAACAGTAGCTTGTCATTTAAAATATCAACACAAGTGCTGCTGAAAAATATTAGCATATAAACAGACAAAGCCACAATTTTGTCGATCAAAAAAACGCCACTGCTGGCGATGCCCTTTTCTAAAAACATTCATTACCCGGCCAAAAGTGCGTGGACTTGCCTGTGGAGGTTAATGCTACAGCTTACAATTATATTTTAGACAGCGAATTGAATAATGCCACAAAGCAAAGTCTGTACACCTTTGGGATTCCATTAACTGGAACGAGCCAGACTTTAATGCCCCGAAATCTTTTCCGCTCTGATGGCTGAATTGGAGTAAATCCCTGCAGGCAGGCTCAAAAAAATCCTGTGGAAAGTCTTACCAGAAGAGCGGAGACTGATGTTTCCCTGCCTTAATCTAATAAATGTGATGATTTAAAGTTAGGCACTGAGTCTATGACTCAGATATCGAACAACCTTTCTTGGGCTGAGGGCTGCTGCCCGGGGTGGGGGGCCTCCCGTCCGTCTTGGAGGAGGCATCTGTCTTTGTGGGGGTCTCTGTTATGGGGCTGGAGTCTGTTTTGGGGGAGAGGTCTGTGACGGCTGAGTCGTCTGAGATCGGAGTGTCCTTCCCCAAAGACTTGTCCCCATTCTGGATGGACTGCAACCCCGTCTGCAGAGGAAGAGCTGGAAGACAGGGGAAAAAAGACAAATTTAATGATTGACAGGATACCACAGATGTTTCGTTTCGCTACCCGATATTTCCTAACGTCAAATCTCAATGATAAGCAATGTACATGTAGTTTTCTTTTTGCTGTCGCTGATGCTTTTTGTCCAATGTCTGACGTATTGTTGCATCACTGTTGGACAGTCCCCAAGGTGACGTTTCCAATAAACGTGAGCGACCTTCTTCCCCCATCCTTTGCCGAAACGCGATCACAGCAAACCTAGAAACCCCTTTGCGACCTAATTAACTCTCGCCTAATTAGAAATCATTAACACCTCTTTCACATGCAATTCATGCGCATCAGTCGCTCCGCTGCGAGACGCTGCGCTCTCCCCCCTCCGTCCCAGAAGGCCTCCTGTCAGCAGCGTTAAGCGCACCAGAAGTAGGTGAGCCACGAGCGTGGGAATAAATCTCTTTAGGTTATCTTCTGAAGCAACTGTTCGCAGTATTTAAAAAAAAGATAACTAGATACACATTGATTTTTCCCGTAGGGGCGGAAGAAAACACTGGAGGTTGTTGTGTAAGTCTATTTCAGCTCGCTCCCATAGTGGGTACCATGGGGATAATGAAAGATAATTGATTTAATTATCCCCACAGAGCCACCTAAATGGAATATAAATCCCCCGACTTCACTGTGGGGCAAAAAGCTGACAATGAATCAAAAAAAGTTGAATCATCAAATCATCAAATAATAGTTTTGAATCATCAAAAAATAGTTTTATTAAAGTAATTTTTTTAAAGTAAAAATGCCAAACACATGGTGGTTTAAGCTTCTCAATTAATGATTTGTTGCTTTTCTCTGATATTTGGGGTGTTGGACTGTTGGTCGGACAAAACAAGCAATTTGAAAATGTTGACTTAGATTCTGGTACATTTTAAAGAACATTTTAAAGTAATAGTGGTAAAAACGTGGCTCTGCATGACTTGAAAATTGACTTTGACACGTAAAGATGGTCGAGTTCCCCTTTGACCTACAGATTTATCGATAATGAAAATGGCCAGCACTTGCAGCTCTACTTTCAATATCATATTTTATGTAACACAAAGGCCTCTGGGCCTCCTAACTATGAGCACCATTGACGGCTCCACACAGATCCGGTCATGAGGCCAGACTTCCTGACCTCTGACCCTCACGGAGGGCGACAAAGAGGCAGCAAAAACAAAAAGCCACAAAACACATCCTGTCTTAATCCCGGCTGAGTTTGTTTTCACACTCCTGCCGGTACCACCACTGAGATCGGCTGCTGCTTGCCGGACCCCCCCCCCTTTGTCCCTCGCTGGCTGTCACACTGGAGAAGTCAGGACAAACTGAGCAGAGCCGCTATGACGCATGGCGGAAGGTGTGTGTGTGTGTGTGTGTGCGGGGGGGGGGGCAGGAAGAAGAAGAAGGGGCAATTTCTGCACTTCTACAAGGACACACGGAGAGTGAGAAAAGAGATTCATAGAGAAAGGAGAGCTGGAGGACAATGAGAGAGTGGAAAAAATGGTGCAGCAGGCTGTTTTTATAGCGACGGAGGAGGAAAAAGAAAGCTCAGGATTTTAAAATACAAAGAAAGGAGGGGAGAGATAAAGACAGTAACAGCTAGGCCCAGAGCTGGGAAAATAATGAGACAGGAGCTCAGAGGTAGGAAGGTGAGAGGCTGCAGGCTCCAGGCCAGCTCTCCCCTCCAGTCAGCCAGCGACGGGCAGATGGTCCAAACGCTCACCGAACCACATAAATCACAGATTAACACTGGGCTCCTCTCCAGCTACCCCCACTGTACTTCAAACACAGAGCTTAAATGCACAGGCTGCATTATAGAATACTAAAGGAGGAATGAGAGGACGTGAAGTAGAGCCCCGCGTGTGTTTAGACAAGAGAGTGAGAAAGAAAAGATGCAGGATGGCACCGCTTCTACCTGATGCTGGGAAAAAAAAGGATTTGGTAAAAAGAGGATCGCAGTGCTCCTCCTCACTTGAGAAGATTACTTTTTGGATTTGAACAGTTTACCAGCCTCATATGGCTTTAGTCAAACTTATTCAAAAAAGAATATAAGGCAACTAGTGGTGCTGATTATTCTGCCACCGTAACACTGTCAGGATGACTAAACGCATACATGAAAAAACAGATATGTAGAATCAGAGATTTGAGCTGCTTTGTTTGTTTTTGTAGTATGTTTTTCAGGACATTAAGATGTTTTTTTGTAGTTTTTATTGCTGCTTTTTTTTATTTCCTGGATTATTATTTCCTGTTTTGATAATCAGCTTTGAACCTTAATTGTGTATGTATAAACAAAAGAAGTGAGTGTTATTGCCAAATAAAAATGCAGGAAATAAACTTTATTTTACTGTGACTTGATTGCTGTGGATTATCGGCAAATACCTCTGATGATTATATGTATGTGTAAACCAGGTCTCACTGTGATGACATGCACAAAAAAAAACTACAAAAAAAGAGGGCGGGATCTCTCGTAAGACTCTAGTTTACGTTGCAGAGTTGACTTTAACTAGTTATTACCATAAGCACAGCATGGGTGTGGCTGTTGTGTGTTTTCTGACTGAAAAACAGGAGTGATGACAAGAGTTATGTAGAAGCAAAACTACAGTATAAACTCAGGAGCAGAAAACACAGCTTTACTGCTACAGTCTCACTTGGTCTGGTACGACCAGTAGCTTACGGTGGCGAGCTAATGTTGGACATCTTGAGACGGACATACTGTTCACTGACCCTGTCAGTCTTTCTTTATGACTCACTTCTCTACTTGTGCTACTGTTAAACTAGGTTAACATTAGTGAACAACATTAAAAGAAAGATGACAGCAACTGACTGCAGCTGTTTCAAAGTTTCTGATAAAGGTTCATCAACACAGCCAAAATGAAGATCCTTGGGATTTTTTTGCCACATTTTCTGATTACATTTATTAATTCAGAGGTTTGCAGAGCTCATGGTGGCAGTTAAGGCACTTTAAAACACTTTTCCAGCAATTTGCATAAAAAAATATCACTCCTCGGAGTCATAACTTGATCAAATGTGAACTCAAAGACATGCCACACATAACTATATTCAGCTTTACTTATGCTTTCCGTAGATATTACTGTCTTAGCCAATAAACATCCATAAATCCTCTCAGAAAAAATAGAAAGACGCCACTTACAAATCCAGAACCTGCATGAGAATCATGGCGCTTTAAAGTTTGATTCAGTATCAAAGCAATCCAGCGATAGTTGTCTGTAATTCGGCATACTTTTGGTGTCTTGGTAACTAAATACAGGCAAAAAAAAACGGGGCTCAAGATGCAGCAGCATTTAGCTTCCTAACACATGGCAACATCTTACTTCCTGTTTACATCCCCCCCAAAGAATGATGGGAAATGTACTCCCAAAAGTTATGAAATGAATACCCCTAAAAATAGGGAAGACCAAGAATAATAATAATAATAATAGTAACATAATCTATGAATATTAACTTTTTCCATGTTTGTCGGCACATTTTTTTAAGAAAGCTCCTGGTCATTATCAGGGAAATTAAATGGCAAAAATTCACAACTGCCTCCAATATAATAGTAGCTACGTCTTACTAGTGAAAACTAAAATCATAATATGGGATAATACCGTAATATAAACATGCACCCATAATATTAAAACACATGGCTACAGTGGTGTCCCTGCAACAACATGACAATCCATACAGCCTTGCAGAAATACATGTCTTATCGCACACGATCAACCATTCATGTGACTAGCTCCACAGAAACACAAATTCAGCATGATGTCGACCCGTCACTCCCCCCTCCCTCCCTCAGAGCTCCACGTCCCTCCACAGCCAGTCTCAGGTTTCTGTGCCACTGTGACAGACTCTGGGTTTATAAATAGCGATAAGCACCATACTGAGAATGTCGGCCATAAAAGGGGCTGGCTTCTGTCGAGGCACCTTGGGACGGCACAGCGACCACAAACTGCAGCATGTGGTACACCAGATTTACCACACAGGCAGGTTAATTTTGTTTGTGTGTGGGCCACATTGGCTGGTAAAATCCTACTCCATCTGGCATTTAGAAAAAACTGTTGTAGCCAATAACAAAATAAAACAGAGGCAGACGTCCAAATGAGAGTTGGTAACCTGCCAGACTTGACTGAAATTTACCAGCAATCGTCAGGAAAAAACCCTTTGACATTGTTTCCACTCAGGCGGATGAGGGAGTGTGGATGCTTATAATTCTAGTTCTAGTTCACTGCATTTCCCAGAATTCCTTTTTGATGAAAGGCTTCTGAGAACATGTGAGACAGCTGTGGGTTGTATGTGCATGTAGTGGAACTGACAGAAAACTGTGATGTGGTGTGGTTTGAAAACAAACAGTACAATGGTTCAAAAACTTTAACACCCAGATAAGAGGTTGTGTTTTAAGAGAACTTACATTACAAGCCGATCAAACGCGACGAGTTTGAAAGAGGGGTAACCCTCACAATGAGCACGATTGACATAAAGATGGGACATATAAGTGGGGCAGTAGGCCAGCCAATCACATATTCTCTCATTTTCTCTCTGCATTCAGTCTGGCTTTTACCGCTATAGCATGGACATTATTTGGGGGAAGTCATATTTTTGACTTGTTTGGACACAGTTTAAAAGTATTTCGGATGGTCAAGATAAACCTCATTGAGCTCCGTTTTTAGAGGCAACAGCTCTTCCAAAAAGGAAAAAAAATGCACCTTAGTTATCATATAGCTGACTGTACTGCGATATCAATGTTCCTGGTTCACTCTACTGTCTACTTTCGAAAAAAAAGTCTCCAAAAAATATAGATAACATTAACAATGGCTCTGTTGTATTATAACAGCCACAACAAACGCCAAGTCATGGTTTGTCCATGACCTCGAAACCAAAATTCAATTCAGAGCCATCGGTCATTTTATGTGATGCGTCAAATTGTCTTCTGGGTGAAAGGCTTGTTATCACTCTTTTGGACTTGTGCTGTTTACA